CAAAAAAAAAAACGCTTGCTGATAGTGTTTGAGACTTGCTATCGGGAAAATGTTGTAAATCTCGCGCATCTCTTTATGAAAAAGAAAAAGCGAAGGTAAATAAAAGCTTTCTTGCTTTTGTTCCCTCTTATCTTTCACACAATGGACTCAAGAATCCATTAGCTGAGATGCGGAAGAGTTTGCAAAAGATCTTTTTAGCACATTCACCTTTTACTGGATCATTTTTACTTTTTTGTGTGCTTTAGATTATTGATTTGGAAGTAAGGCATAAAGCCCTTCCCTAGCAGGGATGAGATACGTGCCTGGTAGCGCATTGGTAGAGTGTTCAACCGGTGGGCGAGAGGTGGCGGGTTCGGATCCCGGCGCCGATAATCTTTTGCATTTCTAGCTTCAACCGATATGGTTCCAACTGATGAGTCTCAGCCAGTGAATAAAGCATGAAGCTGACCCATTAGAGACGATTGGGAGAGAAGAATTTGTAATGAGCTCACTCAAGAATGAGCTTTCTCTAAGGGTGGCTTGGGGGGTACACCACGAGGCACTCTTCTTTTCATAACTACTTTCCTTATGAACAAGTTGCTACTGAAAGAAATCAAGAGCTTTAAAGAAGATGAGAGATTTCAGCTAATCAATTTAAGCTAATCGATTTAAACTTTTAAGCTAATCCTGCAAGAACTTTCTGTTAGGAATTTTAGATAAAAATGTCTTTGTTTATAGCAAACAATCGAAGTTAGAGTGGAAAAAAGTACATATTATATAGTTATATAGGGATTTTATTGAGCACAAGATTTAGATTCGCAAGAGCGCAGATAGGCGCAAGATTTAGATTCGCAAGAGCACAGATAGGCGCAAGATTTACATGTGGCTTGTCACATTACCTTAGGAAATCACATCCATGAAAGTCAGGATTCCCAATTTTAACGTCTCAATGGACGAGAAACCAAAATTTGCATACAATATTTAGAATAGTATACTGTACTTGTAGAAGTACTAGGCTAAAAATCAGATTTAATCATTGACTCGAGCTTCCGCTCATACTTTAACCCTTTTCTACCCAATTTTCGATACACCCTTTTTTCGGGATTCAATTGAATGAAGAGAAATGTTCTTCTCTAAAGAAATGTTCTTCTTCTGTTTTTCTGATTCAATGCTTCGAAATGCTCGATTGGAATGAAGAGATCGTTCTTCATTTCCCGATTCGATACACAACATCTAGGCACATCTGTTCGGAGTAAAAGGATTGAATGAAGAGAGAGAACGCCTCCTCGACCCCCTCACATTTCTCGACACACCACTGTATAAACAGACACGTTCTCCTTCTTCTTCTCCTCCCATTTTTCGCAATTGTTTCCCCCAACCTTTTAAGCTATTCATTTTCAGCCCTGACCACCCTTTTTGATTTTTCGTTTTTTCTTTTCATTTATTAATTTTTTAACTAATTAACTTAAAAGCACCTGGTTATAGGAATAGAAAAAAAATGCGTGAAAATGGAAAGGAAGCTCATTTCGGAAGCTCATTTCGACTAATCCAACACGTCAACAATTTCAATTTATCCTAGTTTTAAGGGCAAGAGTTTTAAGGGGAAAGAGAGCGGAGAATTCTCACGCTTAAGCTTACGGCAGAGCGAGGGAAGGGATGGGGTTGAGTCGCGTAGACAGACTTCTAGGGGAGAGTCATTTGGGAGGGCAGAAATTGAAATCGAACACCTTTGGCTGCTCCTCTTGCCTTCTTCATGCCCATCTCGGGGCTTGTGTTGTCCCTAGGGAAGATCGGCTTCTTGCAAACACTCGTCGCCCATCTACTCAGTTTTTTTTGCTCATATCTGCACTCTCAAAAATTGCGCTTTTCTCCGGCAAAACTTTTGACACTATAACTGTTTGTTTTTGTTCGTTTTCTTGTTTTCTTTTCCTTCATTTCGTTTGTTTGAAGTTTTCGACTAAAGTTACGAAAGTTTATTATTTACATTTAGCTTTTGTTTGTTAAGAGTCATTTTTGGCAACTAGCGTATTTTTAGAGCCTAAAGAAGTATTTTTACGTAAAGAAAAACATCTATAAGCTTTGTTAGAGAAAACTAAAAATAGCTCAATCTTTCCAAGAGAAGTGAAACTTATCTAAATCAAATTCTTGGACAAAGAATACTGTATTTTCTCTAATAAGTAGCGCACCATGAGCGTCGCCTAAATTCCTCGAAATCTTGAAAACCGCTTATCAGAACCAATCGATGTGTGGTCGGAAAATGTAGCTGACGATGAGATCTAGTGGAGGATTAGAGTGTTGAGCTTCTGCAAAAGCTTGGAAACCATAAAATAGCCACCAACTCGGCTCGGCCGGGTGCACTACTATTAAGAACCACTACTAGAAAATACGGCAACTATTTTGAAGAGATTGAAGAATATTTGTGAGTTCTTTTTGACGAAATGGTCGATGTGAAACAGGGTCATTCCTTTCTCGTAACAGCTCCCAAGCGGCATCTATGAATACGCGAGAAAAAAAACCCTCTCTTTTCTTTAATACCAAAAAATAGCTATTGTTTAGATTTGGCTATCGTTTAGATTTGGCTATCGTTTAGATTTGGCTATCGTTTACATTTCCATAGTTTTTGTCCATAGTTTTTCTTCTAAACTTCTAAACTTTAAATCCATGACGAATCTCTGAATGTTTAAAAGAGATTGCAAAAGAGAATTTTCGAATTTGTAAACCAGTAACTTATTTACTGGTGACTGAGAAAGGCATTGGTGCGAATGGGGGTGTGATTGGTAGAGAAGGTCATATTCTAAAAGAGAAAAGGGTTCAGGTAGCGATAGAGTTGTTGCCTTGTCCTTTTCTTTCCCTTATTCACTCTTTGCCACCATTATTACAACTCTTTTCAACTCCGTGCCCAGTCATGGTGTCTACCGGAAGAGGCACACTAAAGGGGGCAGCGCGGGGGGGACACAACGCCCATTTTTCCTCTCACTCAAAACCTTTTTAGACTTACCCACTTTCTTCATCCCTATGCTTATTGAAGTGTTACGTTCTCTTTTTTCAATCAATTCTTTTTCTAAACTTTATTTATTGATTCAGAAAGACTGTTTAGAAAGTCTAAAGAACTCAATTTCATTAATTTCCTCAAAGAAAATCTTTTCCGTTCTTTTAGATGACTAAAAGATTCTTTTCCGTTCTTTTAGATGACTAACAGATTGACCATGTGTTTGTAATTCCATTCAAACTACGCAATAAAATGTTTTCCCTAAGCTTTGACTAAAAGCATTACTATTAGTGTAACTGTTCGCAATAAAAGGCAAGTGAGATTTCAGTGTTGCCACAAAAATCTTAACTTTACTCTTTCAAGTTGATGTTAATTTGAGGTTTGAGAAGGGGAAAGTGCATAAAGAGTCGTAAAAAAAGCAAACGAATGGATGATGATCACTTTTTGCATTTTGGGTAAAAAGCCGAATGGACTGCAATCAACCTATGAATGGGTTTTTTTTTGATATCACAATGTTGAGCAGCTGGCTCTTTCCCCATCTTTAAATGCGAAATCCCATTGCTGTTTCATTTCACTCACTTCTCAGTTCAATTCCACTTTAATCGATGTCAAAATATTTGTGACTCATCGAATTCGATGAAATTCGAATCAAAAATCGTTTCTTTTACAAATTCTGCAAATTCTGCAAATTCTTTTTCTTTCATTCTTTTATAAAAACATCTTAAAAAACAATCTTAGACAAAACATCTTAAAAAAACAATTTTCAAACAGTAAATTGAGTTGTAATTAGGGTTTTTAAGTTATCAGTATATTATAGAAGAATAGAATTTGATCTATTAAAGTAAATGTCTTTTAAATTGTTCTCAAATGAAGAATAGAAGTTGATCTATTAAAGTAAATGTCTTTTAAATTGTTCTCAAATGAAGAATAGAATTTGTTCTATTAAAGTAAATGTCTTTCAAATTGTTCTCAAATGAAGAATAGAATTTGTTCTATTAAAGTAAATGTCTTTTAAATTGTTCTCAAATTTTCTTGAGAGACTTTTAATAACTTATTCAGAGTTAATCATAGCTAAAAATTTAAGACCAGGCAAAAATATTGAGTCAAAGTAATCCTTTTCCGCATTTCCGGATCTTTGAATCCATATCTGCATTTCCGGATACATGAATTGAAAGAAATAGATTAGAGAACGTCCACCAAAAGAGTATATTGTGTTGTGGGAGAGGCGTCGATCATGATGCCAATTTGTTAAGCAAAGGACATCGATCAGAGTTGTCATCAGAGCCGATCCTTTCCCCTTTCCCCCTTTCCCTATTCATTCCAATGTTCATGTCGTTCTCTGCTTTCTGCCAACTTTCAGATTTACTCTCTCCAAATGATATATGGATGCCCACTTGCACTTGTGGGGACTCTTCAGTTTATCAAAAAAGCATAGCAACCGCTCCATTCCCTTTTCTTCAAACTTTCCCCCTCAATTTAGACATCTCCAATGAATTCCATTCTTGCACAAGTGTTAATTAACTCAGTTAATCACAGTTTTCTTTTCATATTCCTCAAAACACTGTTTATTTTGACTTTGAGAGAAATAGATCCTCTAGAAATAGGTTAGATAACGTCCATCAAAAGAGTTCTTTATTTCTTTTGAGTAGTAGAGAGCTTTTTTGTATCTTGAGCTTGAGCTTGAGAGCTTGAGAGCTTGTGAGCAGAGAGCTTGAGAGCTTGAGCTTGAGAGTTTGAGAGCTTGAGAGCAGAGAGCTTGAGAGCTTGAGCTTGAGAGTTTGAGAGCTTGAGAGCAGAGAGCTTGAGAGCTTGAGCTTGAGAGTTTGAGAGCTTGAGAGTAGAGAGCTTGAGAGCTTGAGCTTGAGAGTTTGAGAGCTTGAGAGCAGAGAGCTTGAGAGCTTGAGCTGGAGAGCTTGAGAGCTTGAGAGCAGAGAGTTTGGATCTAAATTTTTTTTTTTTGACTCATTTTTAGAAAGCTTATTTTTTCAACTTTCAAAACCAACTTCTCATCTTATTTTACATTTTTTCAGGAATGCAACGATTCTCTGAGATTCTCTTTCTTTTTCTTTTGACACTCGTCGGTTTGACTGTGTCGACGAAAGAGGAAAAGTTGAGGTGTTATTGCACAAAGAACACAGAGTCCGTCAAATGCGACGAGAATAACGAATGCTACACAACGGGATGTGAGTTTTAAGGGGATTTTCAAGAAAATTGAGCACGAGCGATACTTGGGAACAATTCAATTCAATCTAATATCTCATTCTAATTCAATCCAATCCAATATCCAATTCAATTCAATCTAATATCCAATTCAATTCAATTCAATTCAATAATGCAGATTCATGAATTGTTTAAGGGAAACTTTATATCTAATAATAGTAACTATATTGCTTAAGTGTAACTGAATAGTTTTATAATTTTATAATAAAGCCAGCTAATTGAAAAGCTAAAGCCAGCTAATTGAAAAACTACAAAACTGCAAAAACAAAAGCTCCAAAATAAAATTCAAGTTTAACTGTCCACTTCTTTCATTGAATTTTTTGAAAAAACTTTGTTTTAATCTTTCTATACTTTAAAAAGCTTAAGTTTTTTCAGAGCAGAGTTTTTTTTTTCTCTTCTAGAATAGTTGCATTGGGAGATTTGAGGTCCGGAAGTATGCCGGAAGTCATTTGACGGCATTTGGGGAGATTTTCAATCTCGAAGACCTAAATCAAGGTGATCGAGAGTCCTTAAAAACTTGTTTTCAATGAATCACAACAAGGAATATTGAATGAATGAAGTGGATTGGGTAGATTGGGTTTTATTTTGACGAAAACCTAGTATCCAGGTCACCTCAATAATCCTCTCGAGTGTTTTGTTTATGAGCTCGGAAAGGGACTAGTGGGAAACAAATGATACTGACATTGACATTGACAATGATCAGAGTTTCAATCAAAATACTCTGTTAGTAGTTTCCAAGCACTTTTTCCAGTATTTCTATTACTTTAGCAGAAACGGCTTTTGTCGATTATCTGGGATTTTTAAGAGCTTAAGAAATTTCTGAATTCATCGAAAAGTCGACGAATTAAACCAGGAAAAATAAGTAAATGGGATAGGCTACTTTGCGCCAAATTTTTTGCGCAGCTGGGTCATTTGCGCAACTAGATCTTTTGCGCAACTAGGTCTTTTGCGCAACTCGCCATAACTTACTTCTAGGTCGGCCAATCTTTCTGATTTTGGTGTCATTTTATAGATCTCAACAATTGAAACAAAATGAAATCAAAATCATAAAGATTAGCCAACTTAGAAGAAAGTTATGGTGAGTTGCGCAAATCACCCAGTTGTGCAAATGACCCAGTTGCGCAAAAAATTTGGCGCAAATTAGCCACCCCCAATGCGAATTTTAGCTTAACTAGAAACTGGTACAGTATACTGATAAAGTATATTTCTCAGCAAAAGACTAAAATAGATTCAAACTAGCTGCACAAACTAGCTGCGCTGGGGGCCGCTACGCGGTCGTACGGAGAAATTACCCTGGCACCCATCGAAATTATTCTAGTTTCCTACAAAATGATATATTAACCATAAAAATCGATAGACTGGGGGGTTGAAATCTAGGATCGGAGTACGCAATACTACTGTTTCCGTTGTTCCGTTGCCTGTAGAAAAAATCTGACTTCAACGGGGAACTCCGCGACCTCGAGAACCTATTTGAGAACGAGAACCTAGTGTTGTTTTTGGAGCTCTAGCTTCTCCTGTGCTCGGACGGACGGACAAACAAACAGACAGCCCTCAATTATATATAGTAGATCTTTAGTTTGCTTGATGTTGGATCATCCGACGCATGGACGTCACTACACATGTCACAGTCGCGGTCTTGATCAAGATTGCACGTTCGTTTTTCAAAATTATTCGAAATTACAGAATCAAAACCAGATTTATATATTTAATCAAAAATAAAACCAAATTTAAACCAAATTATTTAAACATTTTCAGGACTCGAACCGCTAAATCAGGATTGTCTGTGGATGTGTGCGGTTGTAAAGACGCTGATCGATGCAATCTCAATCGATGGCCGAAATCGGAGTGAGTTCGAAGCTTTCGATGCTCACATCTTTCAAAGGAACTTCGAATCTTTGGCAAATTATCGAATCTTTGTCAAAAACTCTTTAAAACTATCGCTGAATCTGAATTTCACATTTAAAATTCAACTATTCAGCAGAAGTGAACGGGGTGACGGTGCGGACGCGAGCGCGATGAACGGAGTCTCGACAAGTTTTCCCCTTTTCACAATCCTCTCCTCCATCATCGTCTTCACCATTTTCACATCATAAATCATCAGAATTATCTAGAATTATCTAGAATTTCGATTCTTCAAAATATCTCATTTTCTAATACAAATCTTCTCCCGTTTTTAGAGCTTGAACCCACTAATTTTCAATTTTCTTTAAATTTGATGTTTTTTTGTCTCAAAATCCTCAATCTACTCGCCAAAAAGTGCACTTTTATTCGAATTATAAGAGAAATTGATCGATAATTCAACTCTACAAGAGAAATTGTTCAATGACTTAACTTTAGAAGAGAAATTGGTCAATGACTTAACTTTGGAAGAGAAATTGATCGATAATTCAACTCTACAAGAGAAGTTGATCCAACTTTAGAAGAGAAATTGATCGATAATTCAACTCTACAAAAGAAATTGGTCAATGATTCAATTTTGGAAGAGAAATTGATCAATGAGTCAACTTTAAAAGAGAAATTGATCAATGAGTCAACTCTACAAAAGAAATTGTTCAATAATTCAATTCTACAAAAGAAATTAACCAATAATTCAACTCTAAAAACTTCAAGATCGATCATTTCGCTTAAAAATTCTTCTCTAGTAAAACTCTAGTACTTTCTTTTAGTTATTGATAGTAGTGTTTTTTTTTTCGCTAATAAAACTCTCACAGGTTCACTCATTTCCATTTTTTAAAGGCTAATAAGTATTTGAATTTGTTTTGTGACCAAATGCGGGCTGTGCTCTGTTATAAGTCTCAGTAATTTTGTCTCAGTAATAATTTTTTAAAGTATATTTTCAATCTATCAAATTATTTTCTTTCACTTTCCCTAATATTTCCTCTTTTTTTTTTCAACAAGATTCCCTTGATTTCATTCGTTTTTGACATTCCGGAGTGCTCATTTATATTTGTTGTGTCCGATTTGGATTTCCGTCCGATTTAGATTCAATCTAAATCTTATATAGAATTTTTTGTTTTCTTGTTTTCCTATTAAATGCTTACTATTATCCTATTAAAGTTAAAAACTACAGAAAACGCTTAAGAACATATATTAAGCATGTTTATATTATTGTTCAATCTATATAAGACGCATTATTGTTCAATCTATATAAGATTTAGATTGAATCTAAATCGGACGTCCAATATAGACTGTAATCTAAATCGGACGTCCGCGATAAGTTCAATCTAAATCGGACGGAAATCTAAATCGGACACAACATATTCATCACGATTTTTTTACGCTATGCCCAAACATTTTACAGCTATCGCCAAATAAATAAGTAAATTTCCCTTAATTTAAAGAGAATTTTCATAGGCAATCATGTTTTCTTTTGTTTTTTTTTGTCTTTTTTTGTCTTTTTTGCGTCTTATGATATTTTCTTATGATTTATATGATTGATAAATATTACAAATTATGAGTTGAATGAAACCAAATTTTGCAATTATGCAATTATATATAATACTTTATTCAGAAAGAAATAAAATGTGAAAACGACATGAAAAATGTACCAGATAAAAGATCACAAAGTCACTTAAAATGCAACCAAGTAGCCCTTTTAAAATCAGACACGGTGGAGATCAAACGCAACTTGTCGGGATTTGTCGAAATTCGGAATCTACGCATACGATACCCTTCTATGAAAACATTTTCGGGAAGGGCATTCCAAACTTTAATCACACGATTTACCAAAAAAAGCTCTAGAGGATTTAGAGAAAGCAGATTCGGATAAAGATATATGATGCGAGATAAAAGAGCCATCTGCAAGATAAAAGTCGCCAAAAGCCTCAAGTTTAGCCAAAACAATCACAAAAATTCGGCGGTGGGACAAATGCTACCTTTTTTTTTGCGCACCTGGACATTTGCGCACCTTTTTTTTTGCTGGAAAAGGCCTTAAAAAAGGTCGTAGAGCTTCGAAAATGTTTCCATGCTAGGCAATCGTATGCGTAGATTCCGAATTTCGACAAATCAGGCCTTGCTGGCACGTTAAATTTGAGCTAAAAGGCAAAAACTACGCAACTTAACGCTTTTCCGCAGTTTTTGCCTTTTAGCCCAAACCTGACGTGTCTGCGAGGTGTGATTTGTCGAAATTCGGAATCTACGCATACGATTCCCTTATATGGAAATATTTTCGAAGCTCTACGACCTTTCCTAAGGCCTTTTCCAGCAAAAAAAAGGTCGCATTTGTCCCAAAAATTCTATTAATCTTTGATCAACCAATATATTGACAAGATAAAGATATTCATTTGAAAAAAACCTATCGTAATACTTCTAATACTAATTTTAAGACATTTGCTTCTATTTTTCAATCTATCAAAATTCGTCGACCAAAAAAGACCATTTTTTTAAGTTTATTATCGATCAAATATGAAAAAATTTTAGGTTTAGAGCTTTCTAAAAGGCTAAAGTCAAGATTTCGAAAGATTTTGAATTGTAATAACCGATCCAACAACCGATCCAACAACGATTCTAGATGAAACTTTGTGAACGCAGCATCCCTGTCACTCATAAACCCTGCCAACCCTACCGTACCCTCGCCGTTCTCCCATCTGCTGTCTGCAAATTTTCCTCGCAAGTGGCCCCAAGAAAAGACGCGCTCAGAGCAAAGATTCTTCTCCAAATACGCCTTTTTTGCCCGTCATCCCCTCTGACTCATTATCTATTTCTCAATTACCATGTAAATAAACTTTTCGAAAAGTAGAACCATTGCCAGCTCTTTGCCAGCTCTTTGCCAGCTCTTTAGCCACTACCATTTTCATCCCAGCAGAACTTATCTTATCATAAAGATAGCTTTTCCTCAAAAAGTCAATCAATTGAACCGATTAGAATGCCTTTTTTGAAAGTTTAACTTATAATTTAGCTAAAGAACTTTTTCTTGAGTTAAGTTTGACGAAATCGATTTCGAAAGCGCACCATTCGGAACTGATTAGGGGATTAGTACGGCTTCGACAAGAAAATGACGCGAAAAAAACCTCGCTTAACCCTCGCAAATTCTTTTTTCTTGATTGTTTGTTCATTTTCTCTTTTTGCAAACTCCCATATGACTTATCATTGTTTTTTAATGATCGATTTGCATAAAAATGGTCGATTTAAAATCAAACTTAGCTAATTTAAAATCAAACTTAGCTAAGCGTCAAACTTAGCTCAAGAAAAAGTTCTTTAGCTAATTATAAGTTAAACTTTCAGAAAAGGCATTCTAATCTGTTCAATTGATTGACTTTTTGAGAAAAAGCTATCTTTTTTTAACTTACCCGAACGACTGCTTTCACATGTATCTACTTCTACTTACTTTATTATAATTTTGTAAAATATTTGTTTTATAATTGAACATTCGATAATAACACGTTTTTTTTAGAAAACGATTTGGGGTAAAGCGTGAGAAGGGGAGGATGGAGGCCGAGGCCGAGCACGACTTCATGGCAACAGCCGAAGATGAGCTCTCTTTTCGAAAGGGACAAGTACTTAAGGTTTGCGGCGTTTTAGGTGCTATACAAGAATTTTATATGCTAATTTCCCTTTTTTGTATGCTGGGTTTATGGAGCCAGCTTAGGCGTCAGACTAAGTGTCGAAACGGATTAAAGGGTGAGCTTCGAGACGATCACTACTATGAAGCCTTGTAGAAGTGGCAGCATAATACTCAAAGCTTTGATGTATAATTTCTGGAAACTTGTTGCTGATCGTTATCCTCTGACTTAAGTTGTCTTATTGTGTTGTTGTTGATAATGTTAATTTGAATTCACAAATGTTGTTAGCTGATGTTACATTCACAAATGTTGTTAGCTAATGTTACATTCACAAATGTTGTTAGCTAATGTTACATTCACAAATGTTGTTAGCTAATGTTACATTCACAAATTTTTAGATATCACCGCTTTTTATCTTAATCGATGATTCTTTAAAAAGATAATGTTAATTTGAATTCACAAATGTTGTTAGCTAAAAGAAAACAAGCTTTGAGTATTATGCTGCCACTTTTGTGATGTGGAACATAAGCGGACACAAAAATTAGCATACAAAAAGCGAAATTAATATATAAACTTTTTAGATATCATCGCTTTTTATCTTAATCGATGATTCTTTAAAAAAACTTGCTTTAAAATTGTTAAAAACATTCATTGTCTAACAATGAACAATCGAAACGATAAGAAAAGTAGTTAACCTAAATGTTAAGCCTTAATTTTTCTAGTTTTGTACCTGTAACAGTACTTACAATTAGCTAACTAATCTTTCACATAATATTAGAACTTTAAAATCTAGGTTCTGAACAAAGACGAGGATCCACACTGGTTCAAGGCAGAGCTCGATGGTCAAGAGGGATTTGTGCCTAGCAATTATATCAAAGTGATGGATCATCCCTGGTAAGGCTTAGGCTTAAACAATTAAAAGCAACACAATCTTAAAATAGAAAACTTGCAACAAGGAATTGAAAGCTTTCAAAAAAAATCTTTTCCAGGTATTTGGGAAAAATCTCTAGACGCGACTCGGAGGCTCTTTTAAATTCGCCGGGAACCCGTGATGGCACGTTCCTCGTCCGACAATCGGAAAGCAGTGCTGGGGATTTCTCGATCTCTGTCAGGTTGGATACATTTGCAGATTTCTACCCTTATATCTATGGTAGGTAGTACTTTACTTTCTCTAAATTTTCTTCATTTCAGATTTCGAAACACAGCTCAAGGAGTTGGCGTTCAGCACTTTAAGGTTTGAGCTAGTTCACTTTGAAATACCAAAGAAAAAATCCAAAAAATGATTCCAGGTGCTACGAGATCAAAGTGGGAAATACTATTTATGGGAATTAAAGTTCAACTCGTTGAACGAACTCGTGCAATACCATCGCACAGCCTCAATCTCACGCACGGACACCATCTTGCTACGTGACATGGATGTGAGTCTAACAATCACGATTTGAACTTAAAAATTAGCTTTTAAAGGAGCGATCCGAATTAACATTGATTCCGAAATCAATTTAGCGCCAGGCGTGTGTAGTAATCTTTTGATGAACTTTGATTTAGAAATGATCAAAGTAAACCGATTTTTCAATCATTTATCAGGTATTGAAAGATGAAATCAACTTTGAAAATCCTTTTAACCTTGAGTATTTCAGCTAGTTTTCGTTTGGAGGGATCTAGAATTTCTAGTAAAAATACAGCCAAGTGTGAGGCAAAAATTGTTCCCTATACCCGGCCGGTTTGCCAGATGGAATTGCCGATTACGTGGCCACACAAAGAACATCAAAGAGAATTTTCCTTTTGTTTTGCACATCGTTCCCTTATGATATTTGAAGCTAAAAATTTGTACCCAGGGGTTTTCGGAATCGGGGAATCGATTGGCGATATTCATTTTACTAATTCCGGAACTCGTACACTCCTGGTACCTTCATCAAAAGCTTCATAAATTTGAAATCTTTTTATATATTTTATAATGAGAATAGTGGATTTTAAATGTCTAACTTACAAACTAACAAATATCTAAGAATAGAGAAATGTGGACTTATACTTATTATATATCATTTGAAAGTTGTGAACCTCCTCTTCAAGATAAGCTAATAAGTTTCCGAGTTTCTCTAAAAGTTTAACGATTAAACCCGAGTTGGTAAACTCAATAAAATGAATAGTTCTAATCGATAAATGATTGACAAACTGATTTATTTTAATTATTTCTACATGAAAGTTCATCAAAAACGATATCAAAATATCTGCCTGCCGACAATTTTCTTTTTAGTGAGAATCGGTCTAATTTAGACCCCTCTAAGCTTTAATATTGTCAAGAATTTCAGGTGGAAGCCACTTTCGTGCAAGCACTTTTCGATTTCAACCCGCAAGAGCCCGGCGAGTTGGCGTTTAAACGAGGCGATATTATTACTTGTTCGTTTTTTAAATCAAAAGTTGATAATCTCATGTTATTTACGATCATCTTTAACGCTTTGTAAGCGTTAAGATGATTGTAAATAACATGAGATCTTAACGATCTCATGTTATTTACAATCTTAACGTTATTAACACGTTGACGACAATGGCGACAATGACAATCGCATGGGACAACGTTGTTTTTTTTTTCGACAAAAAATGTCACCTGACATCAATGTCCAGGTGACAATGTCCCACAGAGTTCTTTTTTTTCAAACTTTTCGACATTTTCTGGGACCAATTCGAATATAGATACTACCCTACTTGCTTATTTAATATCCATCATCAGCAAACATAAATATGCACAAAAAAAATCAATTTTGGTACTGTCACCTGACATCAGGTGACAATGTCCCAGGCGAACGAATATGTGTCAGACAGCATCAGGTGACAATGTCGTCAACGTGTTAAGATGATGTTATTAGGTTGTCCAATAAGTAATGCGTGTTTTGACACGATTTTCAAAATATCACAAAATTAACAAAAGAGAACTTTATTAATCGATATATTCTCCACAACAATCAACAACATTTCTCCATCGTCCGAGCAAAGAGTGAAGTCCGTCATAATAGAATGAAGCTGGTTTCGATGAGAAGAAATCGTCGAGCCATTTTTGCACCTCGTCAACACTTTTGACTCGTTTCCGTCCGCAAATCGTTTAAACCAGCGCTGGCACTGGCTGATTGAAATTGAATCCTCTCCAAATGCGGCACAGATAGTTCGATGGCAATCCGCTGCAGTTTTACCTCGTTTGAAATCATACAGCATTGATGCGCGGACAACAAACTTTTTGTCTTTCATCTGCAAAACAACATATCTATTATAAAACAAAGGCAAATGAATAAAATAATATATAAAAATAAACACAAGATGCTGATGATTAAAAAGAGCATATATTTGCTCGAAGCGATTTCGCAATAGTTTCGAAATAAGTAACACGCATTACTTATTGGACAACCTAATATTTACAATCATCTTTATTCTATAGCTTTATTTTACAAACAGAATCTTAACGCTTACAAATTCTTATTTTAGTGTTGAATCGAGACGACGAGAATTGGTGGGAAGGAAAGTTGAACGATCAAGGGGGAATGTTTCCTGCGAACTACGTCTGGTAAGTAAAATTTTTTTCATTCTGGTCAATTGAAAATCATCAATTTTCAGTCCATTCAACTCTCGAGTTCAATCCGAATGAAAACTGGGATCAGCTTCTCTACAGGTTATCGCTTTACAGCTTCTCTACAATTGTTTACATTTCTTCAAAGTGTTTTCGTAAAATTGATCGTATTTTGCACAGCCAGATTGTAAAATAGCACAGCAAAATCGTTTTTGTATTTACATAAGATCATATCATAGGTATATTTACATAAGATATAGGCATGCTATTCGAAAAAATTCTTGTTGAATCAAAACGGAACGGAATTAAATCGAATCAAAGCAACATTTAGCCGATTTTTTTTAATCGGAAACTCTAATCAAATACGTATTTGTAACTGTTCAACTGTTCAAAAAAACCCTAAACTCTAGTCATTACTCAGCGCAAAATCAATAACATAACAAGCATCACTAAAAAAAACCAAACAAATTACACAACGCTTTTCAAATCGATAACTGAATAGCTTTAAATGGTTAAAAAGAAGAGAAAGCTAAGGAAAGCTGTTGTTTTTGAAGTTGTTGTTGAAGTTGTTGGTGAAGCTGTTGTTGAAGTTGTTGTTGAAGTTGTTGAACTATTTTGCTGATCCGATCCGATTTGATCCGTCGGATAGCATGTCTAATTATGAACAGAAAATATCAATGCCTTTAACAATTTTCAATGGAAATTGATCCTTAAATCTTGCCTCCCCTCTTTAACACATAGATGCCGTTCTTGGACACTCTTGAACACCTAGATGCCGTTCTTGGACACTCTTGAACACCTAGATGCCGTTCTTGGACACTCTTAACACATAGTGCGTCTGGCCTCTGAACACCTAGATGCCGTTCTTGGACACTCTTGAACACATAGATGCCGTTCTTGAACACTCTTGAACACCTAGATGCCGTTCTTGAACACTCTTGAACACCTAGATGCCGTTCTTGAACACTCTTGAACACCTAGATGCCGTTCTTGAACACTCTTGAACACCTAGATGCCGTTCTTGAACACTCTTGAACACCTAGATGCCGTTCTTGAACACTCTTGAACACATAGACGATCGCTTGAATCGATGCCGTTCTTTTACTATAGTGGAAATCCAAGATCAAATTCGGATTTGGGATTATTTTTTACCCCTAGTGACAAGCTGTTTTTTTGTGTTATACATGGTAATTTTGAAGCTTGCTTCGAAACGGCAGTTCTGATAAAACAGCGCGGTCGTCTATGTGTTAATAAAAGGTCTATGTATTAATTTCAGATGTGGATATTGCACTCGTCACGTTTCTCTCTCTCTCTCTCTCAACCCAGTCGTCGACTCAGTTCTCTCGTGTCTGTGATCGCTCTCCACCCGTTCTTTTACTATATTTTTAAGCTGTCAATTCATAGATCAAGTTATCAAATGCCCATTTTACCCTCAACAAATTTCGCTTTTGTCAAAAATTTCGTTTCTTCTAACTTCTAACTACGATTTCTTTTAACTATGCCCCAATAATCACATTTTCAGTCATTTCCTTTCGGTTTTCACCCAGCTTCTTTAAGCATTCCCTAAAATTTTTTTAGCAAATCACACCAAAGCATTTTGATTAAATTTTTTACACCAAAAACCATCTTTGTTAATATTTTCTTCAAATTGACTTGCGAAAATTGCCATATGAAAATTTTTCCGAAATTTCCCCCATGACAGTCAGGATTTTTCAGTTATTCTTTTATTTGAAGTTTGATTTCTGTTTCTTTTAGTGATTTAGAAAGTTCAAAGACTGTACACTTGCTTAAAGATTTGATACAAAGTAAAATCTAAGTCTAGTTTTTTTTTTGAACCCTTTGAAGTCTTACAGTGGCTGGAGTTTTACTATAGCCTGGAGTTTTACTGTCACTGTCACTGTTACTGTTACTGTTAATGTAGTCGAGTTTTACTGTCTGTTACTAGCTTGGAATCTCACTGTAGCTTTGAAGTCTTAAAACCCAACTTTGAGAACTTTCTAGATCACCGCCTTTCCCGTCAATATTTCAGTTCACTGCTCATTGGAATGTTTGCCTTAAATACCCGATCAACTTTCTTTTTCTCTACTTATCAAAAAGGTTTTCATTAATTCAATTTAATTCCATAACTTAAAAGTTGTACGGTTTTTCCCTTTTAATTCAATTTAATTAAATTTAACTCAATTTGAATTCAATTGAATTCAATTGGATTCAACTGGATTCAACTGGATTCAATTGGATTCAACTGGATTCAATTGAATTCAATTGAATTCAACTGGATTCAACTGGATTCAACTGGATTCAACTGGATTCAATTGGATTCAATTGAATTCAATTGGATTCAATTGGATTCAATTTAATCCAATTGAATCCAATTGAATCCAATTGAATTAAATTTAACTCAATTTAGTTCCATAACTTAAAAGTTGTACGGTTTTTCCCTTTCAATTCAATTCAATTCAATTCAATTCAATTCAATTTAGTTCCATAACTTAAAAGTTATACGGTTTTCCCTTTCCCAATCAATGCCAATTTAAATACGGTAGTTTAATTACCTTTTAAAATTACCTTAATTACCTTAATTAAAAAAAGAGTTACCACGCAGTATTGAGCTTATTTTCTTGTTATTTGTTGTAGTTTTTCTTCTTTCATTTAATAAATAGCTATTTGATTTGATCGTTTTCCATTTTTATTCCTTCTTCTTTCCCATTTTCCGATCCGAAGTCCGTCTCTCCGCATTTGTGCATTAACAAAATGTTTTTTTTTTGAGTTTCGTTTAAAATAAATTACATTTAAATTTACATTTTTCTTTACAATTTTCTTTACAATTTTTTTGAGAAAGCACTTACAAAAGCAAATAATTTTTCGTAATTTTTAAAAAAACCGCATAATCGAATGATGAAATTGGACTATTTTCAAGAAAAAAGATCAATTTTTAGCAATTTTTAACAATTTTTAACAATTTTCGTGTTCTTTTCAAAAATATTTGTTATTTTGATTGAAAAATGTACCCAAATCGATTTTATTACAAATATACCAGTGTTTACAATCAATAATCAATAAAAAAAAAGTGACTAAAAGAAAGTAAAATCATCAAGGAAATGATAAAATAAAAAAAAAAAAAATCTTACTTTAAATGTTTCCTTTATGTTCCTTTAAGAGTTATGATTTTTGTGGTAAAAAAAAAAGAGAAAAATAAACATTTAGAAATGATTTAATCGAATAAAAATGAAAGAAAGAGGTGAAAAAAAAATTTAAAGTAAAGCACTTGAAAATTTGGAAAGTGAGTGAGAAAAATCCCGTTTTTGAGAATTTGATGAAACAAAGGAAGGATAAGAAATGAAATTGAAAACAAAAAAGTGAATTTAAAAAAAAAATTCAACTAAAAAACTACAAAAATCTAAATGAATCAAAATAAAGCGAAAAATCGAAAGAACAATTGGGTTTTTTTTTACAAGGGTTTTTTTTTTACAAATTAAGGTGCAAATTTCATGTAAGAGAAGGGGTTTTTCGGTTAAAATCTTGCTGGTCGTAAAGTTTTTTTGAAGATTCGGTACTTGTGACTGCGTCAAAAGTAGTAAAGCTCACCAATTTATACAGGGAAACTTGCATACAAACAAACACGTTTTCTCAGAAGATCAAAAAGAAAAAAAGAAAATTTCTTATTTTTAATTTCAGTTTACTTTTTCGTCTTTTATCCCATTCAAATAAGTTCATCTTAGTTTTAATAGGATAACCAAAGAGAATTGGTTGAATACTTTTCTCATACGCCAACTTTCCGTTTCCTCTAAAACTTTCCGTTTCCTCCGTTTCCTCGTTTTCTCGCACAGTTTCTTTTTTAAACGAGTTATTAAATCGTGGAGCTTTTTACTCCCTCATGTTCGTGATATTCCCATCTTGTCCTCTTGCCTAGATTTAAAGCCACAATTTAGGCAATTGATTTGACTGCTTTGCGATTCTTTCTCTTGAGGTATCTTTCTCTTTTTCTCTTTTTCTTTTTTGGGTTTGTTTTTGAGTGGTGTCCTGGGTGATTATTGTGATCTTGTTTTGTCGTTATTCAACTCAATAAAGCATATACCGTATTTTCTCTAATAGTAGTGCACCCCGGCCGAGCCGAGTTGGTGACGATTTTACGGTTTCCAAGCTTTTGCAGAAGCTCGACACTCAAATCCCTCACTAGATCTCATCGTCAGCTACATTTTCCGACCCCACATCGATAGGTTCTGATAAGCGGTTCTCGAGATTTCGAGCGATTTAGGCAAAGCTTTGGGTGCACTGCTATTAGAGAGACAATGGTATATAAATCATTTCATCTTATTTTTAATAGGAGAAGATAATTGGTTGGTTGGTTGGAGCTTAAGAGTTGATGATAATTGGTTGAAGCGTAATAGTTACAAGTACCGAATATTCGTTAAAAATCTCTTTTTAGAAACTTTTTAAATGAAACTTGTTAAAGGAAATTTCAAATTTAGTTTCTTAATTCTAGTGATAAGCAAATAGATTAAAGAAATGGGTACATTTTCGCAATTTCCATTCAACTTATGAAAATATGGTTTATATTTTTTAAAAAAAAGCAAAAAAGCAGCAAAAAAGCAGCGAAAAAGCACTTTTGTTTTGAAGCGGATTGCTTCTTGTCAAAATGAAATAAAATAAATGCCTTTATTCGGTTATATTAGATTTAAAGTTTAAATGATTTTTCTAACTTTCCTGACAAAAAAAACTAAATTGTTTTTTTCTTAAAATCACCATTTAACTGAATAGGTTACTTGTGAAAGAAAAGGGTTTTTTTGGTTTAAAATAAGCAATAAACTAGCTTTGTTTATTGTAAACTTAGTTAAATAGTCTTTAAAAATTAGCTAGTTTTGGGGAAACAACCGAATAGTACCCAGAATCAAAAAGAAATCTCAAAGAAAGATTGAGTGTTTCGATGATTATACACCTACCGTAAATACTGTAATAGTACCTCACCCCCATAATGACGGTGCGGAGTGTTGCGTAGTCTAGCTTTGAACGAGTTTTTCTCGACATTGCTTTATGCTACAATGTGCGCTTAGGTATCAAAAAATAGCCCTGAATTTCAGCTATTTTTTGATACCAAAGACACATTTTTTGAAAGTACGAGCGCTTTGAAAAAAATGAAATACTAAAAAACTTTTGCGACTACGCGACTGTACGAGGGGGGTGGGGTACTATTACAGTATCTACGGTATGATTAAACAGTCATAAGTAAAGCGAAGAATGGCACACCGGATCATTTTGTTCATATGAAAAAATATGGCGTAATTGAAGTTTTGAAAAAGTTTGCCTTTTAACGCCTTCCATGGACACGGCTACAAGCACGACGATAGGTGGCTATGGTAGCAATGTGAGCCAAGTTGAGCGCTTGATCAAGAGCTGAAATTTTGAAATATTAATTCAACTATAGAATACTTGATAAGCTTTACTAGTAGATTAGTGTTACACGCTTATTACAGTTGCAAAACTTGATGATTAGTCTCGATTTTTAAACGTAGTCCAATGTGTGAATCGTTTACTTAAGTAAAACGGTTTGTTAAGCTTTATTGAGCTGTCCAATGAATCGTTTACTTAAGTAAAGCGGTTTATTAAGCCTTACTAAGCTGTCCAATGAATTGTTTACCTAAGTAAAACGATTTGTGGAGCTCTACTAAGCTGCTTAGTGAATCGTTTACTTAAGTAAAGCGGTTTGTTAAGCCTTACTAAGCTGTTCAGTGAATCGTTTATCTAAGTAAAGCGGTTCGTAAGCTTTACTAAGCTCTCCAGTGAATCGTTTACTTAATCACAGCTAGTTTTTCAGTGAGAGAATGAAATTGAATTGAATTGAATTCCCTTCCATTTCAAAATTCTATTCAATTTAGTTCATTTCCATTAGTTTTCTCTATAAAATTGCATTTTTAAATAAAGTTTTCATAGTTTTCTCTTTTAAATTTGCATTTAATGAAAAAAAATAGAGATTTTAACTCAAAACTCACAAGTTTATGTAACTTTTTATCCCTCCCAATTAAGCTTTATCATTTTTTTTTATCACAGATTTGTAAGGATTAGTTTCTAGATGACCGAAAGATCACTTACCATTAACATCAACGTCTTGTGAGCGAGCATTCTTCAGCTTTCTGTTATTTTTTGGCTCAAGTGGATTCATCGATTTTGGACGAGTCCCAAAACCATGTGAGCGCTTTTTCTTCCCTTCAGATGCTGGAATCGATGAGATTCCTGAGTCAGACTCTTGTTTTATTCTTGGATCGCAAACGATCATGATCGGCCCATCGTCGTCACCCTCATCAAGCAATTGCTGAAAGATTTGACTTTGAAAAATTGATTTGACTTTGAAAACCCTGATGTGATGCTTTAAAGCAGTTCAAAATTTCGCTTAAAATTTTGTTTTTCTACTTTTAACTCACTTGCTCTTTTAAGTAAAGCCCGTTGAGTAAAAGTTGAACTTGATCGAGACGTTTGGTGAGGTCTTTCCAATCTCCACACTTTTTGTTAAGCCACGGATGAACGAGAATCTGAAAAGAAGTCTTGAAATGGAAAGAATTCTTGATATGGAAAGAGGTCCTGAAATGGAAAGAAGTCTTGAAATGGAAAGAAGTCTTGAAATGGAAAGAATTCTTTTTCTTTAGCTTTACCTCTTCCAAACCAATGCGCGTAGTTGGATCAAAGCTTAAACATCTCGAGACAAGATCACGGAACTCTGAACGATTAGTGTTTAGTTAAAGATTAAAGCAATGGCTTTAATCTTACCTTCAGTGACAGCTGAATAATGAGGAATGTTTCCTAGCTTGTGAGCGGTGCAGATGTCTTTTTCGTTTCTAAAAAAGTGTTCTGATTATAGAATTTGTTTTCAAACTTGAATGGCAGAGATCCGTTGAGAGTGTTGTAGAGAAGTACACCAAGACTCCAAACGGTCGCCTCTTTGCCGAGATAGGACGAGTGGAGGAACCACTCTGGTGGACAATAGAGACGAGTACCTGAATAGTTACTGAATTCTAAGATTCTAAGATTCTAATTCCAACATTCTGACTTCTCTTCTATTTCTCTTCTCTTTTACTCTTCTTTGATGAATTTGCGATGAAATGGCAAAGAAAAACGGTGAAAATTGAATAAAAATAACGGAAAAATTGCTTTAAGCAATGGAAATGAAATACGAACTACGGTAGCTAGTGGATTTTCGAATGCGCCCTCAAAAATCTTTCTCTCTAAACGCTCTTGCGCTTTTATTGAAGCCTTATAAAGGCTTTAAGCTATGGATTACTCTATAGATGAGATTGATATTAAGCTAAATCAAGCTTTTATGCCATTCCCTTATTAACAACGAAACAACAGCAGAAATAAGAATACGGTAGCTAGTGCATTTTAGAATGCGTCCCCAAAATGTTTGCTCTCTAAACGCTCCTGCGCTTTAATTGAAGCCTCATAAAAGCTTTAAGCTATGGATTATTCTATAGATGAGATTGATATTAAGCTAAATCAAGTTTTGATGCGATTCCCTTATCAAAACACAACAAAGCACAACAATTTTCTTGAGATACAGAGCTTTGCGAATTTCTGGTTTAGTTGATCTAGGCTCTAGGCTCAAAATTTGACCAATCGCTCTCGTTTCCTCTCTTGAAATTGTGGTTGAAGGACTGTTGAAGAAAAGATTTCTCCAAAAGAAAAGAAAAGAAAAGAGAAAAGTTTATAATACTCCCGGATCTTTTTTTTTTAATGTCATCTCGAAATACTTGTCTACTTTTCTTAGAAAAAAAATTATTTATTATTAGATTTATTATTAGATTTATTATTAGATTTATTATTAGATTTATTATTATATAAACATAATTCTAAAGCAAAATGGCTCTAATTTCGCTTTAAAGTTTTGTTTTCATGATTTCTCATAAAATTTTACTTTTGAAATCGATTCTAAAACTTATTTACAAACAAATTGAAAAAACAAATTGTTTACGAAAGAAGGAAATCTTGTATTTCGAAAAACACTTTCAAAAATTCTTGTTCATTTAATTTGAATGAATTAGAGAAAAAAGAAATACGTGCAAGGCTTGTAAACAAAAAAACAGTTTCTTATTTGTTTTTCAAGATTTTCTTATATAAAAAATGGAGTTTCTAGATTTTCTAGAAGCTTAAAATGTTTAGAGTTTATAAAAGTTACCCTTAACTGGTAAATAAGTTACATAAAAAGGCTGAAAACTAAGTCTAAACTATAGTCTAAAGTTAAATCGTATAATTTTTGCTTAATCACCTTGAAATTCGGTAAACTGGCTTTTATTGAGCGGGGTAGCAGCTCCGAAATCGATTAGCTTCAGCTCACCGGTTTCCAAATTGATCAACAAGTTCTCATCCTGAAAATTTCTCTCATGAAAAGGACAAATTATTGGATTGGATTTATTTGTGCATTCAAATAAATTCAATAAGAAAGGAAGAAAGGAAGAAAGAGAGAAAGAGAGAAAGAAAGAAAGAAAGAAAGTAAGGAAGCAAGAAAAACAGAAAAAAGAAAGAAAGAAAGAAAGAGAGAAAGAAAGAAAACAACCTTTAGATCTCGATGTAAAACGCCTAGATCTTGCAGTTCGAGCACAGTGCGAACGATCTGTCGAAAGAGAAAACGTGTTACCTGTAAAGCAAAAAAACTTGTTTCCTTTAATATTTTCCTTTAATATATTCAATATTCCTATTTTCTTGAGAATCTAGAATTATTATAAATCATTACATCTAGAATCATTATATCTAGAAAACCAAAAAAAATCCTTAAAACATTTGCCCACATTTGCCCACCTTTGCTCGTTAAGGTACACTTTTTGAAAACACACTTGTTCTGGTGCATTTGATTCTTTCATTACCCATTTTTTACTTAATTTAACTTCTAGTTAACTCCCCCTAGAGTGGATCAGATGCGTTGTGGTATCATAGCACCCTTGCCCGGTGAGCGGAAGGTGATGGGTTCGAGTCCCGGCGGTGCTCGAGTGGTTCTGGACTGGCGCAAGCAGCTATTTCCCGATTTGTACACCTTTAGACCATCCTAAAGTTCTAATCCGATAGATTTCAGTATTTGGAATGTTCTTGAAGCAAAAATGTGCTTAAAACTGCATTCCAGTAGTTGGATCAAAAACTACTGGAATCCAACTACTGGAATGCAGTTTTAAGCACATTTTTGCTTCAAGAACATTCCAAATGCTGAAATCTATCGGATTAGGACTTTAGGATGGTCTAAAGGTGTGCAAATCGGGAAATGGCTGCTTGCGCCAGGCCAGAACCACTCGAGCCTTATGAGCAGCATCATCCTGTTGTCAAAATGATTTTTAGCTCACGGAAGAAGATCTTTCTTAAGTAAGTTAAGTTTCTTATAACTTTTGGAACTTGATCTCTTGAAGCGATTGCAATAATCCCAGTGAAAACATTGACTTTACCTCCTCATCGACTTTATTGTGAGCACTGAGAAACTCAAAGAGATCAATGCTGGGGAATGGACGTTCCATAACAATGATATAGCCTTCTGGGATCTGATACCAATCCAAGAGACGAATCACACCTGGAAATCAATGCATAAGCTTTTAGAGAAAACTTGGTTGATTAGCTAATACGTTGATTCGTTTGAAATCTACGAACTTGGAGTTCCTGTAAGTTTAAAAAGCATGTAGATCTCCATGGGTACCAGCTCGTTACCAATCTAAAAAGAGAAAAGATGAAAATTGAAAGTTGAAAGTTGGAGTCAGTTTCTTTTGAGTCAATCATTCAATTGGAGTCAGTTTCTTTCTTTTTTTAAATCATTAAATTCAACCTTTCCCCATTCACGGATGTTCTTTCGATTGATAAATTTGATGGCAACAGGTTGTTGATCTGTGAGTCGTTTTCCTTGATAAACGATCCCGAATCCACCTTGGCCAATCTTTTTGCTCATCGAGTAAGCCTTCTTGAATCTCGAGTAAACATGATCTAAAACTAAGCTTTAATTTATGTTTAACAGCTTTTAAGGATACCGAAATAAACTATTGGGTTGGTGAATTGAAAACTGCGGGCTATTGTCATATGTGACAGTTCTCACACTTTCTTCAAAAGAAACCCATTTTGGTGTCAATAGAAAAGTTGTAGAGAATCAAAAATTAGGTTTATAGCCAAATTTCCAAAAAGATACACTTAGTAGTTTCGCTTAAAATGCAAGTTTTGCGAAAATTCGTAAATTTGGCATTTCTTGAAAACCAGTTTTTGAATCATTCTGAAAAAATTTGGATATAAGCCTAATTTTTGATTCTCTACAACTTTTCCATTGACACCAAAATGGGTTTCTTTTGAAGAAAGTGTTCAAACTGGGACATTCCTTCATTTTTGAGTCTCCAGTCCTCCATTTTTGAGTCTCACACTTGTCTCACTCACAAACCAAAATCCTACTACGAAAGAGGAATCCGCAAATTGTCTGTAAAATGGGCAGAAGTCGTCAATAATAATGGAAATTATTTGGAATGAATTCATGGTTTTATTTTCAATAAATTTTAGCTCAAAATCTTTTCAGTTTTCAATTCATCAACCCAATAGATATTTATTTTTGAAATCTTAAGATTTCAAACTTTACAAACTTTCCAAACTTCCCAAACTACAGTACTTTTAAGATCTTATGGTGATTTACTATTGTCTAATTGTAAGACAATTGGCAATGAAAAGCCTTCTTGAGTTACTAAACTCTCTGTTCATTTTTTTATTATGATTTATTAATTTCCTACTCACCGGATTCCCCATTGAGGATGAGTTTTAGCTCGAAGAGTTTCGCACTCGTGTATCGCTTGAATCGCTTGGCAAAATCCGGCAACGCAGTCATCGTTGCCACAAGTCTGATCTGAAATTTCTTTGAAAAGTTAGACGAATTGTTGATACAATCGACTCTCGATAGAACAAGAAATTCTAAATGATGTCCTTGCTTTCTGCCCAGCCAAATGAAATCGTTAACCGTTCTGGGCAGCTAAAGAAATTTGGGCTTCGTTTTAGAATTGCTAAGTCGAAATTTTTGGCTTTCTTTTAATCGAGAGTTGATTGTATTTGATTGTATTCAATATAAAATGAAAAAGGATTGATAGAAAAGATTATCAAAAGAAAAGATGATGAAAAGAGGAACAGAAAATGAAAGGTTTAGAAAATGAAATATAAAAAAATGAAAATCGAATGATTAGAAGCTATTAGGTTGGTAAAAAAGAAATGAGCGTCGTGTTTGTTGATTTGTATTTTATTCACAGTAAAAGATTTTTTTTAAATAGTTTATTCTATTGGAAAGAGCGTGTTCTTGCGCATCGTTTGATATATAATTTGTCTATGTTTACTTTGGACCGCGTGGACCAGGCGCTGCGACGTCAAGGGGTGGATACGGCGCCGACAAAATTCCTCCACGACAACGCTCGGTCGCGTGTCGCAAAAATCATCCAGCAGAAAATTGAAGAAATGGGCTGGGAAGTCCTGCCTCATCCGCCATACAGCCCAAACTTGACGCCTTCCGGCTACCATCTGTTCCGATCAATGCACCACTCCTTGGCCGAGAAAAAGTTCAAGAACCGCGACGAGGTCCAAATTTGGGTGTCCAACTTCTTCGAGTCGCAGCCGGTCGAGTTCTTCAAGAAGGGCATCCATTCTCTGCGTGAACGTTGGCGACAAGTCATTGATGCAGATGGCGAATACCTTTTGGATTAATGTATTGTTATCTTGTTTTTATAATAAAATAAACTTTTAACGAAAACGCGCATTTCTTTTTTACCAACCTAATATATGGAGGCTTTTTTGGTGTAAATAAGGCGGAGCTCTTCATTAATTTCATTTCATTCAGCTCTTCCCGAATTAGCTAACTGATGAAAGAGTAGAATGTCAAAGAGGAAAATGAAGAATAAGCGAATGATAAAAATCCTGGAAATCGGTTTGGAAATTCCGTAAAAAAAACAAATCCTATGCGTTAACTTTTTGATAAGAAAATGAGCATCTCTTTTTCTTTTTTTCTTTGCTTAATTTTGCGCTGAATTCGCTTTCTCGAAGAGCATTACTCGAATAGAAAATTGGTAAAATTAGCGCGTTTTTTTAAAGAAAACTATGCGATTAAAAAGCTAATCTTTAAAATTTCGAGATTCTCAAATTCACCGACTTTACTTTAAAGGAAAAAAATTCGTGATGTAACGGTTAGCAATCAAAAAAAAAAAGCCAAAAAAGCAATTCTTTTTTGCCTAGTTTTCTTGACGAATACTAATGAACATTTCCCCTTTAAACCTAATCATTTTTCTCAATCATCAAAACAATATTGAGAGAATTGAGAGAATTGAGCGAATTGAGCAAATAATATGTCAAAGATTGTGATTAAACGTTAACAAAAAACACCTCAAAAAAAAGATCTGAAGAAGAAAGAACGACTTCATTCAATTTTCAATCATTATTAATACAATTTCAATCATTATTTTAGTCCCAAGCAAGCTGAGTACGAATTTCCGATGTCCGAGCGGAAAATCGACGCTGAAAAGCCCTTGTTAACAACTATTTTTTTTTCTTATCTGTTAAAATAAATTGAGCAATTAATAAAAGAAAAATAAAAGAAAAATAAAAGAAAAATAAAAGAAAAATTTAAAGGAGAATTTAAAGGAGAATTTGAAGGAAAATTTAAAGGAAAATTTAAAGGAGAATTTAAAGGAGAATTTGAAGGAAAATTTGAAGAAAAATTTGAAGGAAAATTTAAAGGAAAATAAAAGGAAAATTAAGGAATTACGTGTAAAAGTCATACGATGTTTCATCTTTTTTTTTCTCTGGCTAGCTCACGGGAAACAATAAAGCTATGAGAGCCGTTCTCACTTTGTCCTGCCAGACAAAAAAAAAGTGAAAAACAATAGGAATTCGCAATTTTGAGTATCTCACAAAAAGCCAAACACCAAGATGTTTTTTTTTTGGTTGAAAAGTTTTCCAAGAGGTTTCCAAGAGTTTGTCCATCACAAATTTCTCGAGTTTGGTGCGTATTTTCTGGATGAAAAGATTTCAAAGCTCTTTTATTAAAGTTCGTTCACTAAAGCAAGATTTCTTTTGAAAGCTGAACTGAAATAGAAAAGAAAATGTTAGCAATTCTTGAAATCTAGATTCATTCTGTTATCTAATCATTATCTAATCATTCTGTTAAAGTTTAAAATGTAATATGAAAGCTGAGAAATCGCTCACCGATTGATAAACGATTGAAAAGAAAAAAAGTCATAGTTGATCAAATGGAGATGCTGAAAAGGGTTATATTTCATTTTATGAGGGGACAATTAGCCAAAAACAGTGAGAAAGAAAAATGGGGAGGAGTTTCCGGGTGAGCGATCGAACGCGGAGCAGTTGACCAAAGAAGGAAGAAGGAGGAAGATGCCGTTTGAGAAAAGAATTCATCTAGAACTCTGAGCTCTCATTCTCCTTTTCACATCCAATCACTTGTCGATCGCAATTCACTGCTCACTATTTATAGGCTTGGCATTCATTTCTGTATTCCTGTTCCTATTTATAATGGAAATTCTTTTCCAGACTTGATAATTGAGCCAAGAGAGCTTAAAAGCAGTTTAGTAGAGTCACGATTTTGCTTGGTTACACAATGAATTGTATCATTTACAATGGAAATATCTTGCAAACGTATATTCAAGTCAAGTCAGTCGATCGAGTCATAGGCGTACTTTTCCAAAATCGCGGCTAGATACCTACCGTAAATACTGTAATACTACCCCACCGCCCTCGTACAGTCGCGTAGTCGCAAAAGTTTTTTAGTATTTCATTTTTTTCAAAGCACCCGTACTTTCAAAAAATGCGTTTTTGGTATCAAAAAATAGCCCTGAATTTCAGCTATTTTTTGATACCTTTTTCAAACATTAGTTTCTCGACATTGCTTTATGTTACAATATGCGCTTTGGTATCAAAAAATAGCCCTGAATTTCAGCTATTTTTTGATACCTAAGTGCGCATTGTAGCATAAACCAGTGTAGAGAAAAACTCATTCAAAGCTAGACTACGCAACACTCCGCACCGTCATTATGGAGGTGGGGTACTATTACAGTATTTACGGTATTTCTAGTGGAAATTCTTTTCCAGACTTGATACTTGATCAAGGTCAAAGATTTTTCTGGGAAAACTCTGAGATTCATGATGAACTCGAGATGATCGAAATGTGGTCATTTTTGATTTATCACTAGAAATCAAGAGATCAGAAAAGAATTCAAAAAGGAGACACAATTTTTGGACAATAAAATAATAGAATGATTTAGAATGATTAAAGGAATGAGATGAGAATAAAAGAATAAAATAAAAGAATTCAAATGTAACCCGGGAATGGAGAGACTGTTTGCGTATGATTTGCGTGGACAGTCTTTGAAGGAAAGAGGGGAAAAGGAAAGAAGCTGAAAGAAAAAAGAAATCTGATGGAATGCCTTGTCCTGTCTGACAGCTCCTGTTGCCCTCTCTTCTTCATGTGATGATGGTGTTGGGGACTTGAAAGAAGAACATATCGACACGTCTTCTCGTCATCTCTTTTCCCGATTCCCGATTCACCTTTCAGCTTACCCCCGGCTTGAAAACGGGCAAAAAAAAAGGTTAAACCGGCTCCAAGTTCTTGTCGTACTAATGGTTCTTGAACTTTGAACTTGAATAAAACTAATTAATTTGCAGAAAGGAGAAATTGAAAAGTTACCAAAAGAAAGGCATTAAAATGAGCAATAGATTCAAATGCAAAAGGATTCAAAAGGATTTCAAAGAATAAAGTCTCGTAATTAAGAACTCTCTTTCTTTTCACAAAACCGAAATTAGTCAATGATTGGTTGAATCAGTTGAACTAGAAAGTGAAAATAAAGAGATCTTGAAAGAGATGTTTTGAAAAAGGAATGTGACAATGAAAATGTGTGAGAGGAAAGTCGATATGAAGATAATGGCAATGGAACAAAGAGAAAATGGGAGGTGAAAAAAGAGAGAGAGAAGGGGAAGCTGCCACTGTTTGCCTGAAGGAAAAGGAGACCAGGGATTCAACTCTTTCTTTCTTTCTCTCTCTCTTTCTCTCTTTCTTCCTTTCTTTCTCTCTTTCTCTCTTCCTTCCTTTCTTTCTTTCTTTACAAACCCTCTCTCTATATTTGAGACTCTTCTTTGAAACCAATAGTGAAAAGAAAGAAGAAAAGTTAGACGAGAAGGACTGGTTCCTTTCCATTTTTTTCCCATTCCTTTCCCTTTTCTTTCCCTTTTCTTTCTCGCAAACAACGCCAAACCCAGCGGCATCATCGACGTAATACTCATGTGTACTTTTTTCGAATTTACAGTCTGAAATAAAACTTCAATTGCTTGGATTGCTTACTCATACGTTTACAAGATTAGATGAAAGTTTACAAATTTAATCTAAAAACATTAAGTCTACAAGTAAGTCAGTAGCACTTACAGTAGACGATAACGAGTTTGAAATCGATTTGAAACTATTCTAAACTATTTGAAGCTTTTCAGAAAGTCTTTTCTGATTTACTGACTTTCTGGAAAGCTTAAGCTTTTCTGAAAAGCTGAAAAACTTTCTGAAAAGCTGGAAAGCTTTCTGGAAAGCTGGAAAGCTTTCTGGAAAGTTGGAAAGCTTTCTGGAAAGTTGGAAAGCTTTTCTGAAAAGCTGGAAAGCTTTCTGGAAAGCTGGAAAGCTCTAAAGCAGATCACTTCAAAAAAGCTCAAAAAAGCTCAAAAGTAGCTCAAAGTTAGCTCAAAGCTCTTCTGCTAAACAAATCGAAAAGCTGTGATCAAGAAACCAGTGTCAATGAGTCAATGGAGTGCTGAGAATCAGCAGAAAATTGAACAAGAACTGGTTACGAAATATTTGCGTGTGCGACCCAATCTTACCTTCATAATTCTCAAAATACACACGAATTTCTTCTTAAGCTGAAAAGCGTACGTAAGAATTTTTCGTTTTCACACTTAAAACTTCTTTTTTTGCTTTAATTTCCTTCAAAATAGTTCACAAGATTTTCGAAAACTTTTTCCATTCAACACTACAAAAAGATTTTCTACATTTCTTCTGTAAAAGCGAGGAAAACTTTTATGTTTCTCCACAGATGGCTTTTATTCAAAAGAAATTTTCTTTAGCTCTTCAGCTCTTCAGCTAAAACTTTGTATTCAAATTCTATACAAAAGCAAAAAATAAAACAGTAAAGAAAAATGGAAAACAACAAAAAAAACAACAAAAAACAACAAAAAACAACAGAAAATCTTTTTTTTAATGATTTGTTTTGATTGGATTGGAGCATTTTGCAAATGAAATCAAGATTCTGCAAAGATTTGGGCGGGCAAAATTTTGGGGAAGAAGAAAAGCGAGATGGGATGAGTCACGGATCGACGAGATAATAGAATCATTGGTGCTATGGGGAGATCGGCGATTGACAACAATTAAGTGACAACAAATGAGAGATAAAGAAGATGAACAGAAAGGGAAGGAAAAGAAGCACATCTGTACGGTCATTTTCGTGGAGACAGGTTTCTTTCTCTTTTTTTCTCACTTGCATACGCTTTTGAAACCATGGCTCACCTCAAAAACAAGCATTTTCTTTTATTCTCTTTTCATTTTTCTTCTGTAGATTCTCTGACGTAATTATTAAGTTAAGTACGAAGTCTTTCACCTAAATTCATTTTCTAATTGAATAAGTCTCAAGCTACCAAATAAAATCAAAATTATTGGGTTGGTGAATTGAAAACTGCCGGACTTTGAAATAAAATTGATTCAACATAAAGCCATGAATTCATTCCAAATAATTTCCATTATTTTTGACGACTTTTGCCCATTTTACAGGCAATTTGCGGATTCCTCTTTCGTGATAGGATTTTGGTTTGTGTGTGAGACAAGTGTGAGACTCAAAAATCGAGGACTGGAGATGTCCCAGTTTGAGCACTTTCTTCAAAAGAAACCCATTTTGGTGTCAATAGAAAAGTTGTAGAGAATCAAAAATTAGGCTTATAGCCAAATTTCCAAAAAGATACACTTGGTAGTTTCGCTTAAAATGTAAGTTTTGTGAAAATTCGTAAATTTGGCATTTCTTGAAAACCAGTTTTTGAATCGTTCTGAAAATTTGGATATAAGCTTGATTTTTGATTCTCTACAAATTTCCATTGACACCAAAATGGGTTTCTTTTGAAGAAAGTGCTCAAACTGTCACATATGACAATAGCCGGCAATTTTCAATTCATCAACCCAATAGATAGCCCAATCATTTGCAAATGACAAAAAGTAAACGATAAACATTTCTAATGAAAAAATTTTTTTGGTATTTGATAATTTGAGATTTATAACGGTCCAGAAGATAAGCCTAGCTTTCGTTGTTTCCATTCAACTCCGCCAATCATCTTACAGTTAGTTTTGGCCTTCATTGTGATCCAACTAGGAAAAGTTCCGGATTCTCTACTCGGCTCCCAAATAGAAATAGATTACTTTCTCATTTCAACATAAAATTTATCGCGTAAAACAATATTTTCAATTAATTTGAGAAAAACAAATGATTTGAAAATGAAAAAGAAACGACGACGCGGCACTCCCATCGACTACCTCCAAATGGCGGTGACGTCAATTGGAATGCGACGTCGCGCAAAAATTAACACTTAAAATTTGCGATAGAAATTCAAATTTAACATGAAAAGTCTCGAGAATCACATTTTTTTTTCTCTGGAGATCATTCTCTACTACTGATTCATTTAAATAATAAAATGATGGGTGCAAAATCCAGTACTCAACCTAAAAGAGTTTATGGTACCTGGATAGCTGTTAAGTTAAAAACAACTACCATTACTATAGCCAGGTCATAAATTTGGGATAAGGATCGGAGAAAAAAGAGGCTTTTGGTAACTGATTCTTCACTTGGTAATTGGAAGTTGAGATAAAAAAGAAACTAGTTTAAATCTATATTTAAAAAACATGAGAAACAAAGTCATCAAAACCCATCAACAATCCACAATTCACGTGAAGAAAAGTGACATTTCTGAGAGAAGGAGGAAAAAAGGCGAGAGTAATGGATGCAAATCGTTACATCTGTTGATGTGCTCTTTCTCTTGTGCTCATTTTGATCCTTTTTTACGCCCACTTGCACTGATAGTCAGCAATAGATGACGCGAAAAGATGATAGAGTAGATATTTGCAAGTGTGCATCATTGAAGCTTTACTAGACTCACAGATTGATCAAGAAAATCAAGAATGTTTGAAGTTGAGTCGGGTTTAGGTTATTTTAGGTTTTCTTTTTTCCTGATTCCGTATCCGTAACGGTTACAGATTTGCGTACAAGTTAAAGTAGTACAAGTATTAGGTGTGTGAAAAAGTAATCCGCGTTTTTTATTTTTATTTTGTTTAAATAAATATATCTAAACAATTTTTAATTTTTTGTTAACGATATATATCGTTTAAAAGCTTATTTTTTTCCTCTTTCGAATGATATATTCATTTTGTTAAAAGGGCGACAATAAACTACCTTCATTTTAGTTTGAAAATGGTATACACAAGTATCGTTATTCGGTCAAATTTGCTTTATGAGTTCAAAAATGGGTTGAAAGCTGCGGAGGCTGCACGTCGAACTCGGAATGCGTTTGGCGAAGACGCAGTTACTGATGATACCGCTAGGTTTTGGTTCCAACGATTCAAAGGTGGTAATGAAAGCCTAGAAGATGAACCACGTGGCGGTCGCCCTGAGACCTGTCCGGATGACCAAATAAGATGCCGTCTTCTCGAAAACCCTCGTTCAACCTCTTCAGAAATAGGCCTTACATTAAATTGTGATGGGTCAACCGTAAGGAAACGCTTGAATGCCATGAATTTTATCAAAAAATTGGACAAATGGATACCGCATAAATGTTAAAAACGTGGATTACTTTTTCACACACCTAATACAATTAAAAAGTACAAAGGGTTCAACTTTAGTTACATCGATATGATTCTACTTCTATCATATGCAAAGGAAAGTCAAATCAATCAAAACAAAAAGTCATCTAATATTAAAATTGTTCAAAAAGAATATTACAATGAAAAGGATATTTACAATGAAGATCGACAATGATGAAGAGTGATCGCTTTAGTATTTGAATTGTTTGAGGATGTGCTGTGTGTTGTGTAGTTGAGGTTTGGATGGAGAATTTGGAGGATGAGAGAGAGAGAGAGATGGATTATGCTCGACACCAAGTTCGCTCATCGATGAATGTTCACAAAACAAAGTACTTTCATCAATTCCTTTGCCGAACACCGAAATTTTTAGCTGAGATTCGCAATTTTTCCCTCTGAAGCTTTTTGCTCTTTAGAGAAGGTAAAAATTAGATAAGAAAGTATAAATGCTGTGCGATAAGTGTTTTTTTTCTTCGTTTCTTCGATGCAATTTGCTTTTCCATAAAGAAATAAACACTCGTTTTTATCTTTGAAAGAGAAAATACTTAAATTTTCGTTTTTTTTCTCAAATAAAACATTCTTAAATAAATTATCAGTAAAAGTATTGTAGTTTTTGCGTTATTTAACAATAAAGAAATGATAAAAAAGCTCTTCACAAAGGCTATTCAATTGTTTGATTGAATAACTTATTTGGGAAAGTTTCTGAAACAATAGCCTCAATTCACATCATTTTAAAGCACTTTTTGGGATAGGCTAATTTGCGCCAAATTTTTTGCGCGACAGGGTCATTTGCGCAACTAGGTCTTTTGCGCAACTTGCCATAACTTTCTTTTAAGTCGGCCAATCTTTATGATTTTGGTTTCATTTTGTTGCACTTATTGAGATCTACAAAATGAAACCAAAATCCAAAAAGATTGGCTGACTTAGAAGAAAGTTATGATGAGTTGCGCAAAGTATGCTAATTTCCACTGGGTCATTTTGCTAGTTTGTGCAGCTAGTTTGAATCTATTTTAGTCTTTTGCTGAGAAATATACTTTATCAGTATACTGTACCAGTTTCTAGTTAAGCTAAAATTCGCATTGGGGGTGGCTAATTTCCGCCATTTTATTTGCGCAACTAGATCTTTTGCGCAACTCGCCATAACTTTCTTCTAAGTCGGCCAATCTTTATGATTTTGGTTTCATTTTGTTGCACTTGTTGAGATCTACAAAATGAAACCAAAATCAAAAAGATTGGCCGATTTAGAAGTAAGTTATGGCGAGTTGCGCAAAAGACCCAGTTGCGCAAATAAAATGGCGGAAATTAGTCTACCTCCACTTTTTAAAACGCTTTATTTAACGTTAAAAGAGAAATTATTTAAGTAAAATTTATTCGCTTTTAATTGTCTAAAAGAAATACACTTTATTTGTAATAAGTTTTTTGATTTTTGCCTTTTATTTTAAAGACTTTCTTCAAAGAATTTCTTCAAATTTATTTCAAAAAATAAAAAGAGATACGATTTCAAATAACATTTTCTTTCTTTTACTTCAATTATTTAGAGTTTCACTTGAACGTTGTGCACGTGGATGTTGCCGTCAATCTGAAATTACATTTTGCCAGATTGAGATTAGCACTGAATGAAATTTGGATACCTCAATGAGATGAACAGCGCCATGATTGTCACGCTCGTTGAACTCGCAGTACGGCCGACCGTTGATCAAAATCTAAATCTTTGAAGTTTTCTTTATTTTATGGAATAATAAAAAGTCATTGTTTACTCACAGCAACACGTCCAGGATGAGCCTGAAACTCGACAGTGTAAATGCGTCCAGCGTGGAATGGGAACTCTTGGTCCCAGCGTTCCTCGTTTTGCCTAGAATTTGTTGGTTTTACTTTTGATTACAAAAGTAATATCTATATTTAAACTTTAATTAGATCTTATCTTTTAAAGACTTTTGCTCATGCTCTTGCTCATGCTCATGCTCAAAGCTCATTGCTTAAAGCTCAAAGCTCAAAGCTCATGCTCTTGCTCAAAGCTCATTGCTCATTGCTCATTGCTCAAAGCTCATTACTCAAAGCTTAAAGCTCATTGCTCATTGCTCAAAGCACAAAGCTCAAAGCTCATTGCTCAAAGCTCATTGCTCAAAGATCTCAATAACTTTATACTAGTTTTCAAGAGTTTCAAAGCTCATAACTATAATAGTTTAATATCTTATCTATAGTTACTAAAACAGTTAACAACTACGAGACTTTACGCGTAAAATTTGCCGTTTTAAAAGCTGACCAGTGACCGTGACGGGTCGAGTTTCTAACGACAGCGTTCTCATCGAAGCGAGCGTTGAAGTGGAAGGCGATATCGTCTGGAGTTCTTAGATTGATCTAAAAGAATCGCTTTTGAAATTAAAGCTCTTTAAATTGAAAAGAATTTGAAGGCCTTTAAAATCGCTATACCACAAAGCGATCGGTTCCAGTTGGGATGAGAACGACACGAAGAGTTTGGCCTGGATTGAATCCAGCGACGGGCACGGAAACAGGTGTGGCCTAGAAAAAGAGATTCAATTTTCTTCTGTAATCTCTAAAAATAGATTTTCTTGTATATTCTTGTAACTCTAGATACTTTGCTATCACAATTAGAAGTCTAGATTTTGATTGCTTTAAAGTTTACAGTTACCGTTTACAGTTACCGTTTACAGTTACCGTTTACAGTTACCGTTTACAGTTACCGTTTACAGTTACCGTTTACAGTTACCGTTTACAGTTACCGTTTACAGTTACCGTTTACAGTTACCGTTTACAGTTACCGTTTACAGTTACCGTTTACAGTTACCGTTTACAGTTACCGTTTACAGTTACCGTTTACAGTTACAGTTTTATTTTCCTTCAACTTACAGGGTTGAAGAACTCGTGCCCGAAAGCGATTCCAGCTCCGTGACCAATCATTTTGCCGACTCTAGAATTAGAAAACTTTAGAAAAATGTGAAATCTTGAAAGTTCTGGAAAAGAGGGACAAAATGGTAAACAACGAAAGTTTTGAGTGAAGATTTGAGATGGGAAGACACCTCTATGTAAGCTTCTCCTATCAGCTTTTCGGTCCATGTTAAACCCCCAGTCTTCTCCGAAAGATAACACTTTATACCCTTTTTTTTTGCTTATTTTTTTGCCTATTTTTTTGTTGAATTCTCTGGATAGGGGATCCACCCTTTTTTTATGAGAAATATAGGAAGAAAGAAGCTTTCTCTCACCACTTGAATGACTAATTGTAATCGATATTTCCATCTTGATGCAGAACTTTTAAGTTTATCTGAAGCTAATTCAAAAAAAGCTTATCTGAAGATGATAAATTGTTTGAATCACCGGAAATTGTAAAATAGATAAAAGTTTTTGGTTGTGTTTGCATTTGTTTGAAAAAAAAAAAAAAAAAACGTTTGCAATTGTTTTATTTGAAATCGAATAACATTGAAAAAAATCGTATATTTAAGGAAGCGAGTTTTTCGTTTTTAAATAAAAGATCAATTGAAGATCAGCTAGTTAAATGTACGGAGTGAATGTGCACGTTTCCACCAACCTCAAATTAGTCATTTATTTTTTACGAAAATTTAAGTATACCTCGATCTCGTTTATGTCATGGTGACTGCCTCTTTCGTTGAAACGGCAATGATGTTGTCCATTGATGAATACCTGTAATTGTGAAAGTTATTTCTTTTTCCCCTTAGCTACCGTTTTAGACGAGCTATCTACCGTAAATCTTCTAATAAAAGCCTTATTTAGAAGATAGAAGCAACGTATAGTCTATAGAATCATCGCGTAGTCTATAGAAGCATCTCGTAGTCTATAGAAGCAACACATAGTCTATAGAATCATCGCGTAGTCTATAGAAGCATCGCGTAGTCTATAGAAGCGTCGCGTAGTCTATAGAAGCATCGCGTAGTCTATAGAAGCATCTCGTAGTCTATAGAAGCAACACATAGTCTATAGAAGCATCGCGTAGTCTATAGAAGCATCGCGTAGTCTATAGAAGCATCGCGTAGTCTATAGAAGCGTCGCGTAGTCTATAGAAGCATCGCGTAGTCTATAGAAGCATCGCGTAGTCTATAGAAGCATCGCGTAGTCTATAGAAGCATCGCGTAGTCTATAGAAGCATCGCGTAGTCTATAGAAGCATCGCGTAGTCTATAGAAGCGTCGCGTAGTCTATAGAAGCATCGCGTAGTCTATAGAAGCATCTCGTAGTCTATAGAAGCAACACATAGTCTATAGAAGCATCGCGTAGTCTATACAAGCATCTCGTAGTCTATAGAAGCATCGCGTAGTCTATAGAAGCATCGCGTAGTCTATAGAAGCGTCGCTTTGTCTGTTTACTCTCAAATAAACGCTCAGAACTTGACACCAGTACGTCGCTTTCTGCTCGCTTAGGTATGAAATTAAAGTAGAGAAAATGAGTAATCTTTTGAGATATAACACATATTCTCAGCTTTAACCAGCGCTTAGAATAAAATGATTGAAAAATACTTTTAAAAAAAACGATTTTCGCCGATTTTAAGTCATATTTTTCGAAGCGCATTTTTTTTTCAATCATTTTTCGATTCTTCGATTAGAAATATGAGCTGTAAATCTGAAAATTTCTAAACGAAGGCATTCTGGGATAGAGAATCTGAATTAGTTTTATTAGTTATTAGATGTTTTTTGAGTAACTTTAATTCCCGAGCCAATACGGTCATCATAAAGCTTTAAAAATTGAGTAATTAAACGAAAATTGGAAGAAAAATGCAAAACTGAGCTGGGTTTTGTCTTTTATCGCTAGAAGCCGTGTGCCAGAAACCTTGCGATTACGTAAACATGAAAATTTTCACGTTTCTTTGTAGTCATGCCTTCTGGCAAGGTGCTGGATTTGTGGTTGCACTTGGGTAATTAAACCGAATGAAATCTCCAAAAATAGAGCCATTTTCTTTAAAAACTAAAAACGAATTCGAATTCCTTGACCCAGAAAACCCCTGATTGCAAATTATAACCATGGAATTCTAGGATAGAGAATCTGAATCCGTTATTAGTTTTTGAGCAACTTTAATTTCCAAGCAAACACGGCCAACACCACAAAACTCGCCAAAAACTTGGGTAATTAAACCGAATGAAATCTCGAAAAATAGAGCCATTTTCTTTAAAAACTAAAAACGAATTCGAATTCGTTGACCCCAAAAACCATTTAGTTCAAATTTTCATCCAATCGGCCAACCGGTCAATCGGCCAATCAGCAATCGGCCAAAAAGTGCTAAATTTATGCAGAGCTCGCGTCGCGAATGTATTAAAAATGAAAATTTTTAAGTTAAATTTTGTTTATGCTTTTGTAAGGTTTCTTTTTGTGTTTTTGTTTCTAAATATGTTTAAAATATGCAAAAACTGACCGCAACCGCTCCCGGCTCAGCAACGAACTCAAGAGTGTAGATGCGATTCGCCTAAACATTTCGAGCTCCATACAAATTCTCTTCAATCAAAAAAAATTCTCTTCTTATCTAGCAAATCATCAATTCTTTTTTTTTTTTGTCTTTTGTATTATTTTCAAAAATGTTTTACATGAAATGGGAAAGGCTCGCACGATCTCTCCTCGGATTGCCATCCACCCCGCAGGGTACTATTGCGGACAACTGCTTTCTCCTATAAAAATTTATTGTTTTCGAAAAGAATCACGGGAAATTCACATCAAAACGTGGATTATAGTGAAGGGCTATGTCTCCTGGCCGCTTGAGATTGATCTGAATGAAAGAACTTTGTAAAGTCTTCAATATTTTACCCACCACAAAGCGTCCAACGCCGGTGGGGATCATCACGAGGCGAAGACGAGCGCCTTGTTGAAATCCGCGCACTGGCACTGACACTGGAGTCGCCTGAAATGAAGAATTTACGATTTGACAACTTAATTTTAATAGCTTTTCGTTTTTAGAATTTAATATAACTTTTAGATTTTATTAATATTGCATAAGAAATGCGGATTTCAACATTTTCATAAATTTCCAACGATTGAAATCTGATATCGACGAATGTTATACTATTTGTTATATTATTTGTTATACTATACTATTTGAAAGTTGTAAATCTCCTCTACAAAATACAAAATAAATGGTGTTTCAATTGATCGAGCCATTGAAGAAATTTCGAGGGCGAAATGCGAGTGACCAAAAAAGGAATCGAGTCACTTTAGGGACAAGTTTAGTGTCGTCAAAATTGAGTTAGCTTCCCAAAATTAAAGATTTAAAAAAAAAGGATAACTATATATGAATTCATTAAAAAAGTCTAACGGAAATGCATTTACAGAAATTTAGATAGAGCGTAATTTCAAAACCCTCAAGATTGTCAAAAAAAACCGGCTTTTTCACAAAATTATTGTAATTATTGTAAAAACAAAGTTTTCCGATGAAATGATCCCAACTCTTAATTATTTTGAATGATATTTGAATGATATTTGAATGATTTTAGGGCCGTCATTTTCCACTATATAGTCAAAACGGAACTCTTGTGAAAGTGGGGTTTTCAAAAAGTGTCCTTTTTTGGTCACTCGCATTTCGCCCTTCGAAATTTCTTCAATGGTTCGATCAATTGAAACACGTTTTAGCCTATTTTGTAGAGGGGATTTAGAACTTTCAAATAGTTTTATACTATTTGAAAGTTGTAAATCTCCTCTACAAAATAGGCTGTTGTTTACTCTAAAAATCAAGTACCAATCGACTCAAATGTCTTTAGTACTTTTGAGATTTAGATAAATGTGTTGCCCTTTTTTGGTCACTCGCATTTCGGCCTCGAAATTTCTTCAATGGCTCGATCAATTGAAACACCTTTTAGCCTATTTTGTAGAGGAGATTTGCAACTTTCAAATAGTATAGTATAACAAATAGTACAACAAATAGTATAACATTCATCGATATCAGGTTTCTATCGTTGGAAATTTATGAAAATGTTCAAATCCGCATTTCTTATGCATTTACCTAATAGATTTGTTAGTTATGAGTTTTGTTAAACAAACTGGATTGAAGAATTCGGTGGCGAACGCATGTCCCTTGACGCCTAAACCTTATTCATTACAAAAAAAAATAAAAGGATATTTCTTCAAATATTCAAATATCCAACCATGTCCATGATGTCCGTGAGCCATTTTTGAAAGAATTAAAGAATTTAGAAGATCAAAAGATTCTCAAATCACTATCTATCTCTACTCTTTTATTCTGTGCTTTACGATAAAAAAAAGCCTTTAAACTTTACGATCATTTTTTATGAACTTGAAAAAGTGCCGCTTATCTTTGGAAGAGTTTATGCTCAAATCAAACTTCGTGAATCTATGATGCAAAAATAAAAACTGAAAAGCAAACACTCAAAAAGATTTGATGCAGAAATCTCTCGGCGGAGTTTTGCAAAATCATCACTTTTTGGCCGTGACGAATACAGTATTTGAATTCTTTTACGGTTTGTGAAAAAAAAACTTAAACTTGAGTACTAGTTCTAAACTTTCTATCATTCATTTTCATATACAGGGTGCGGCATAAGTATGGTTACGGACTCAGGACCGTGTATCGTCATGAAATATGAACGGATTCATGTATTAGGTTGATGCAAAAGTCTTTTTCATTTTTTTCGTACTTCCGTTGAAAAAGTAACAAATGCACCAATTGAACAACGGTTTATTGCATTCGAAAGGCCAATTATTTTTCTGCAAAATGACATTAAAACGAGTTTAAAATGTCTTATGTCTAGATTTTTTTGAGAGCCTGAAGTCGGGTAGTCAAAAAAGGCGACGGCTCGATGATGCATTTTAGACGCTTTAGCTAAGGAAACCAATCTTGATGTTAATAAATAAAAGATAGAGCACAAAAAGTTAGATATTTTTTCAGATTTTCAGAGAAATTGATTCAGCCAATTTCTTTATAGAGGTTTTTATAGATTTTTATGAAAAACCCGTTTTCACTCTCGAATTTGCTTGAAAGTGAACCCAAATTGACCTAAAAAGATGGGAAATTGAACAATAAACACTTTTCATTTAGAGCAAACCATAGGTTAATTGATGACTTTGTTATTTTTCAAAAGAAGTACGAAAAAAATGAAAAAGACTTTTGCATCAACCTAATAAAATTTATTTAAAATTAACAACAATAATCATATTCATTTAAAAAATAACAAATTATTCAATATGGACACCTTTATTCTTGATAACGGCTTTAAGACGCTTTGGATAACTTTCCACGGCGGCCCGCAGGGTACTTTGTGGAATTTCCGCCCAGGCTTTCTTCAGAGCCTTTTTCAGACTTTCAACATTTGCATGTTTTGTTGTGCATGCTTTTTGCTCCAAAATTGCCCAAACACAGAAATCCATAACATTGAGGTCGGGCGAATTAGCTGGCCATTTATTGGCGGGAATGAAGTCGGGCAAATTGTTTCGACACCACTCTTGAGTCTTTTTTTGGTTTGTGCGCTGGAGCGCCGTCTTGCATCAATGTCCGGCGCTGATTTTGATAATGTCCTTGACTCCACGGCTGTACATGTTTTGTGAGAACGTGCAGATACACGTCCGTGTTAATTTTCAGCCCTTTATCAACGAAAATCAACGGCGTGCGACCAGTTGCTGATACCCCTGCAAAAACCATGACTCCTGCTGGATGTGAGTTCCTGTCCACAAATCGGCCACTTTTATTTGCTTCTTGAGGGCTGTGAGCCAAAATTCGATCATTTTGAGAGTTGAAAACTTGCTCAATGTTGAATAATTTCTCGTCGGCGAAAAGCGTCGTCAGATGCTCATCATTTGCGGCCCTTGCAAGAAGAAGAGCACATTTTTGCTTCCTGTTTCTCATTTGAAGATCTGTCGGGCTATTATGCTTCCTTAACTTGTAAGGGTAAAGACCCAGATCCTTTTTGACGATACGACGGATAGTTCTATCAGAAACATTCAATTGGGGAGGCATTTTTCTCATGCTCCGGGCAGGATTTCGCTGGATTCGTTTCTTAATGATTTTCTTGAGTCTCGTGTGATCAATTTTTGGCGGACGTCCACTTTTAGGAAGCTCTTCGACTCTATTTTGTTGCAAAATCCGGTATACCGTAATTCGATGCATTTTCAGCAGTTGGGCAATATCCGAAGTTGATCGTCCTTGTGCTCCAAGCTGAAGAATAGCGGCACGGTTGGGAGAAGCCTTCACCGTTATGTCCAAATTTAAAAATTTGCTTAAAAACTGCTACATAATATAAAAAAGCATTCAAATTAAGAAAAAATAATCCTTTGGCAAGAAATAAAAATCAATCAGTTTCTTAAATCAATGTTACAACCTTGTAACCATACTTATGCCGCACCCTGTACCTTTAATGAAAAAAGTAATCGTATAAAGTAAGTAAAGTAAAGTAAGTAAAGTAAAGTCAGTAAAGTAAGTAAATAAAGTAAGTAAATAAAGTAAGTAAAGTAAGTAAGTAAAGTCAGTAAAGTAAAGTAAGTAAAGTCAGTAAAGTAAAGTCAGTAAAGTAAAGTCAGTAAAGTAAGTAAGTAAAGTAAAGTAAAGTAAAGTAAAGTAAAGTAAGCAAGTAAAGTCGAGTAAGTAAAGTCGAGTAAGTAAAGTAAAGTAAATAAGTAAAGTAAAGTAAGTAAAGTAAAGTATTCAAATAATCGTGCATTTGTGTCTTTAATTTTGTATGTAACCTTGTCTCCTTTACATTTATCCCTATAGAAATAAAAATAATAATATATTTTGTCTATTAGAAGGATCAGCTTTGGCAAATGTTTCTCTCTTTTTTTTTTGATTATTCTAATGTCAGTAAATATAAAGTAGCTTAAAAGTAAATCAAAAAGTTAAATCAAAAGTAAAAAAAAACAGTAATCCAGTAATCCTTCTAATAGAGTTTTCAGTAATCCTTCTAATAGAAGAAAATAGAAATATAGATAACATTGGGATAAAAAAAAGTGAAAGAAAATGCAGAAAATTTCTTTGAGAGACATTTGGGAATATAGGAATAATGAAAAAGCTTTGTTAAGGGCGCTAAGCGCTTTGCTTTGCAAAGCGCTTTGCTTTGCTAAGCGCTTTGCTTTGTAAAGCGCTTGGCTTTGTAAAGCGCTTTGCTTTGCTAAGCGCTTTCATAAAAGAATACCATTAACATCTATACCCCTGAGATAACCGAAGAAAAATAATTAAATCTGGCAATCACAGCTGAAAACTGGAAACTGAGATGTGAGAAAAAGAATCATTCTTCTTGTGCTCCCCATTCCATTCCACCGGGTCGCTCATCTTCTGGCACGAATTCCAATTGAGGCTCGTCGCATAAATACTAAAAAGGTATTTAAGACAGAACAAAGAAAACAAATTCTTTGTTTTCATTGTTCCATAGACAATGTCCCAAGGGGTACTGGCTTTTGATTATCTGACTGACCGATAAATTGGCTTATATGGCTTACCCACCAGAACTCAACCAGAAGCCAGATCTTACCCTGGTCCTTCGAAACATTCATATTGTTGTGCTGTTGACCTAGCCTTGTCCACAAAGCTTGGACCTGGCTTCTGGACAACAAACAGACTTTTGCTTCTTTTGCTTCTTGCTTCTGAGCAGGCTCTGATCTGGTCAGATCCTGACTTAACCAGGCCAGCTCTAGATTCTAGCTTAGGCTACACAGGCCAGCTATTAGGTTGAGTACTGCTTCAAAACAAACAACCAAATTCATTTTTTAATTGAATAAGTCTCAAGCTATGAAATGAAAAACGGTTAATAGATAGCCCAATCATTTCTCCAATCAACTTTTGAAAGTTTCTGAAAAGCTTTATTTTGAAGGTTTTTCATTAGCAAGAGTGCTCAAAAACGACAAGATCTGATGGTGTGTTTTGGGCGTTTCTTCCAATAAAACCTCCCAATGAAACGATAAACATTTCTAATGAAAGAAATTTTTTAGTATTTGGTAGTTTGAGACATGAAATGAAAGGTGCAAGATTTAGTACTCAATCTAATAGAACGCCTATCCAGCGCCCATCTAGCGCCTATCCAGCGCCTGTCCAGCGCCTATCCAGCGCCTATCCAGCGCCTATCCAGCGCCTATCCAGCGCCTATCCTATTGCCTATCCAGCGCCTATCTAGCGCCTATCCAGCGCCTATCCTATTGCCTATCTAAAAGCTTATTCAGTACGTGTCAAGAAATATCAAGAGAAGCATTAAGCATCAACCTTTAACCAACGAGGAGTCTCAAGTAATCGAATTCCGTTCGGTTGATGAGGAAAAACGTCCTCCAAGAAAAAATACAAATGTCCACAAGCGATCCCTGGAAAAGATCTTTGCAAAAAGTAGCACATGATCTAAACTTACCAAGAAAATCAACCATTGTATTATTTCCGAGAAGCACTGAAAAGAAGAGTAACACCCAAGGTAAATAAGGAGCATTAAAAGTGAGAGCAGCAAAGAAGTTCATTCTGAAAGTTTGTTTCAGTTTGTTTCAGTTTGTTTCAGTTTGTTTCAGTTCGTTTTTTTAAATCAATCACTTTTCAAAGCCATAAAACAATTGCCAATTTTATTATGAGTTTAAAGAGTTCAAATTCTAACCTGATATGCGGATTTCGACGACTCCAAACATAAACTAACATCATTGTGAATGCGTGTCCAAGGAACAAAATTTGTACAAATATTCCGCAAATAATCTAAAAGTGGAAATGAAATTTATAATAATTTGACATCAATCTATAATTTATTGGGTTCTGAATAAAGTACTTTATCTTCTGAATAAAGTATTGATGCAACAAACCATCAAAATTCCTCCCAACAAAAACATATAAACAAAATCGGCTCTGCGACCCCGAAAAGATCCCTCTTCTAACATTTGACAATACCTGAACAAGGTTTAAGCATTTTTTAAGATAGAAAAACAAACTACCGTAATTACTGTACCCCACCGCCCTCGTACAGTCGCGTAGTCGCAAAAGTTTTTTAGTATTTCATTTTTTTCCAAGCGCTCGTACTTTCAAAAAATGTGTCTTTGGTATCAAAAAATAGCTGAAATTCAGGGCTATTTTTTGATACCTAAGCGCGCATCGTAGCATAAACCAGTGTCGAGAAAAACTCGTTCAAAGCTAGACTACGCAACGCTCCGCACCGTCATTATCGGGGTGGGGTACTATTACAGTATTTACGGTATATAACTTTTAAATATCTTTTGTTTTGATAAAGATGTATGCTTGTATCGAAAAATTGTCCTTACCTGTATGTAAAAATCATATTAAATAAAAAGTTGAAACCGAATGATCCAAAAAAGCAAAAAGAAGTCACGAGTCGCCAAAACTGAATCGAATTTTGTGAAATATTTTGTATTTTATACCTGATATTGTCTAACAATCAAGTCCCAATTGAAGTAAAGCTGGAATGGCGTCACGAATTCTAGTTGCTGAAAAGTTCATTTTTATAAATCATCATAACTTTGATGGGATTTTCGACTATTTTAGAGATATTTTTCACTTTGCAATTTGTTGTTTTATGGTTGCGATAATTTGTCAACAACTAGTTATCAACAACTATTTAACAACAACTAGTTAACAACAACTATTTATCAACAACTATTTGTCAACAACTAGTTACCAACAACTAGTTAACAACAACTATTTAACAACAGCTAGTTAACAACAACTATTCATCAGCAACTATTTACCAACAACTATTAGGTTGATGCAAAAGTCTTTTTCATTTTTTTCGTACTTCCGTTAAAAAGTAACAAATGCACCAATTGAACAACGGTTTATTGCATTCGAAAGGCCAATTATTTTTTCTGCAAAATGACATTAAAACGAGTTTAAAATGTCTTATGTCTAGATTTTTTTGAGAGCCTGAAGTCGGGTAGTCAAAAAAGGCGACGGCTCGATGATGCATTTTAGACGCTTTAGCTAAGGAAACCAATCTTGATGTTAATAAATAAAAGATAGAGCACAAAAAGTTAGATATATTTTCAGATTTTCAGAGAAATTGATTCAGCCAATTTCTTTATAGAGGTTTTTATAGATTTTTATGAAAAACCCGTTTTCACTCTCGAATTTGCTTGAAAGTGAACCCAAATTGACTTAAAAAGATGGGAAATTGAACAATAAACACTTTTCATTTAGAGCAAACCATAGGTTAATTGATGACTTTGTTATTTTTCAAAAGAAGTACGAAAAAAATGAAAAAGACTTTTGCATCAACCTAATATTTATCAACAACTAGTTATCAACAACTATTTATCAACAACTATTTATCAACAACTATTTATCAACAACCAAACGAAACGGTAGGTAGATTTTAATTGTTTAAACGATAGAAAAACGAGGCTAGTCTCATTCAAAAGACTTTGAAAAGTCAATCATCTAAGTGAGCTTTCTAAACTCTTAAATATACTCAAAATGTAGCAGGGAAATCGGTCTTGAGTAGCTCGTATTGATTAATCGTATTGATTACATTGTAAAACGTAAATCGTATTGATTGAAGCTTTCAGCGTAGTTTTTATTCAATCAAAACTTGATTTATAGTCCGCAAAAAGAATAAAGAAGATCTTTTGACGCGCATTGGCTTTTCGCTTTTCGACTAAATTGTACAAGAACAAGGACTGGAGATTTGTTGTTAAATAGTTGTTGATAAGTTGTTGTTGTTAAATAGTTGTTGTTAAGTTGTTGTTGTTAAATAGTTGTTGTTAAATAGTTGTTGATAACTAGTTGTTGATAACTAGCTGCTGTTAAATAGTTGCTGTTAAATAGTTGTTAAATAGTTGTTCATCAATTCCCGTAAAAACTCAATAAATTGAAAAGTGGGAAAGATGATCTAAAATGTTTAAAAGTCTAAACGTTAGACGAGACGATAGAATGATAGAATGAAAAAATGAAACGTACAATTGCCAAAGTGGTCAGAACACAAGCCGTTGTGTAAACCCGAGTAACCGGTGGCATTTCCATGTAAAACTCGACGACATTCGCCATTCTGTAAAAAAAAGCATTAACTTTTCGATTGTTAATTAAAATGTTAATTAAAAAGAACTCTGTATTCAATTTCGATTTGAAATTACAATATACAAAAGTCATTTTTGCTAATTTATTAATTGCTAATTTATTAATAACCAATTTACTAATTGTTACTTTATTAATAACCAATTTATTAATTCCCAATTTACTAATTGCTAATTTACTAATTGCCAACTTAATAATAACCAATTTATTAATTATTACTTTATTAATAACCAATTTACTAATTCCCAATTTATTAATTCCCAGTTTACTAATTCCCAATTTATTAATTCCCAATTTATTAATTCCCAATTTACTTCAAAACTTCAATCAAATTAAAAAGAAACCAGTCTTTTCTCTCTATCGATCTTATCTACAATCGTTTTTTCTTTTCAAAAACAAAAAAATTCTTTAAATCGATATGATGAAACGATTCTTCGGTAAAAATCACGAGATTTGAAATGAATATTTACACGATTTATCCAAATTTTCTACACGTAATGAGGGAAAAATGTACAAAAAGTAGAGCAAGATTTTCTCTAGAGAGGAGTAGAGCAAGATTTTCTTTTTGACATAGCTAATCAAAAGATTGACTAAAATGAAAACAATTTTGACAAGTTTTACATAGAGATTCACAAAAGAATTCAAAAGAAAAAAGGCAATGTAAATTGTTTCCTAAAAGGTTTTTGCAAGAGTTATTTCATAGAACATTTTAGTTTAATGATCGTTGAGCTTTAGAATTGTGGCTATCGATTTTCAAAAACACATAGAATCTCGGCAATGTACAAACTAGATGACTAAAGTTAACGCAAAGTTGTATTGAATCTTGACAAGTCATTTTACAGTAATAGTTTTCTAAAAGTGACTAGCTAACAAAGAAACAAAGCTAACAAAGCTATAAAAGCTAACGAAGCAACAAAGCTAACAAAGCTAACAAAGCTAAAAAAGCTACCAAAGCAAGCAAAGCAAAAAAGCTAACAAAGCTAACAAAGCAACAAAGCAAGCAAAGCAACAAAGCTAACAAAGCAAAAAAGCTAACGAAGCTAACAAAGCTAACAAAGCAACAAAGCAAGCAAAGCAAAAAAGCTACCAAAGCAACAAAGCAACTGCAAAGGATTAAACAGAAATAAAGTGAAAAAAGACATTTCAATCATGACGGAGAGCTTCGTGAAGGACAAGACGAGCAGCTAGGGGAATCTCCGAGCATTTCGATAATTCACGAAGACGTTCCTCGCATTCTTCGTCTTCTAACGCTTGACGCACGAAACGTGTCACATTAGCGGCAAATGTTGATTCCATTTGAAGGCTTTCATCACGGAGAAGCAATAACGCCTAAATGATTTTTAAATAGAGCTCAATTTTGTTTAATCGATTCTACAGCTTCACTTTATTCCAAATTGATTCTAACTTAACCCTTAGCCCTTGTCGGTGGATTATACCCGACATTATTAGCTTCTTTAATCTTTCTTTCTTTCTTCTTTCACCTCAGAAACTCTTGGTTATTGTATTTTTAAAATAAGAAACCCCTACTATTCTAGCGTACACATGAAAAATCGTGTTACAAACCATGTAAAGAGACGCCTGACTATGTCCGCTGTTTGCTGCTTTGTTCATCAGCTTCTGCCCAAAGTTCTTGCTTTTTTGAGTACCTTCACCTGAAAATTTGCTTCACTTTGCTTCAAAAATTCTCCTTTTTCAAAACCTCGAATATAGCACAAAGCTATTTGATACTGTGCCTCTACATCGCCTCCTTTCATCGCACTCTCCCACCAGAGAAAAGCCTAAACTCTTTAAATAAAGAAGCGTTTCTATAGATTTCTACAAAAGTCAAAACTTTTACATTACTTACTGCACTATAGTTGGACACGCCGTTCACAAACTCTACTATAGTTCCTTATATAGGCTGGCCGTGGTGGCCGGAATTCGAACAAAACACAGTCGCCGCCGGGATTCGAACCCCCGACCTCTAGCTTATCAGCCCAACGCTCTACTATGAGCTACCGGTATACACTGTGCCGCCTCCAGGATAGGCCTTTATCCCTTACTCTTAAACTCACCCGAGTTTGACTCTTTTTGCATCCGTGACCCTCCATATAGCAATGTGCAAGGTTTGTCATCGCCTGCACACAACCATTCTTAGCCGCTTTTTTAAATTGTACAAATGCCTCTGGGTATTTCTTGTTGTCGAAATCGATTTCTCCTAAAATCAGAAGTAATTTACGACTAGATTACCCATCGAAATACCCATAGAATTGGCTAGCTCCCATTTTTGAGTGAAAGTCGCCTCGTCGTCACTCGTGGCAAATGCGGTGATAGCCGCCTCCGTTTGCACGCCAGCCTATAAAAAATGAAATATCAAATGTTTAAGTTGAATGCCTCGCAAAATGAATCGGGTTTAATCGATGCTCGTGGGAGTTTCTCGTCGATCGAGCTGCCACGCGAGCCATTGACGATGAACTAAAAGTTTGGCAATGGTTTTGCTATCGTTAAGCATACACTTTAGATGTTAATATGCTTTGAAAAGGTCAGATTTTCAACTTTTCCACATAAAACTCACTGTGGGGCTTGTTTGGCTGCTCGCCGAGCTATCCTCTTGACTTGTGCCCAGCAGATGAATCGGTGACAATGGTGAAACATCAATGCTTAATGGCACATTGCGCACAAATTGTACATAGGGAAGAGCGGCTTCGAAAAGTGGCCTAAAGTGATTTAGAATCTTCTTCTTTTTACTTTCTTTTTACCCTTGTTGTCCATTCTTCAACTCGTCTTCACTATCGAGTAGAGTTGTTGATGGATGGGGTGTTGTGACAATGCGTGGACCTTTTAAATCAAATATAAAACTTCAATCGAAAATTTGGCGTTAAAATGGATGCTTCAAAAGGCTCCTAGTGAAAGAAAGGTACATTGGTGACCTAGCGCATTAGATTTTCGGCTGTAGGAATATGGTTCGATGTTTGATAGAGCTTTTTGTTTTTGTGCCTGATAGAGAACTTCGAGTATTTTGATAACTGCTAGCTAACTAGCTATTCTGCTAACTACTAGCTAACCCTAGCTAGTTAGCTATTCTGCTAACTGCTAGTTAACTAGCTATTCTGCTAACTACTAGCTAACTAGCTATTTTGCTAACTACTAGCTAACTAGCTATTCTGCTAACTACTAGCTAACTAGCTATTTTGCTAACTGCTAGCTAGCTAACTGTTTTGCTAACTCCTATCTAACTAGCTATTCTGCTAACTGCTAGCAGCTAGCTAGCTTCCCTATTTAGTTATCTACTTGTGAAACTCACTGCTTCGAAGGAAATGATTGAGCGCGAGTCGATGAGCGCTCATCTTTGCAGCTACTTAAAGCTGCAATTCAGCGGCGAACATAGGTAATAAAAAGTCTAAATAAATAGATTATTTATTGAAGTAATTATTTAAAATTAAGAAATAAACAAAAAAAAGCTTAATGGTAGATGCACATGGCATTGGCTGAAAGAGAGAGAGAAAGAGAGAAAGCTACACGCTCCAAATGACACTCCCAAGACACTCCCGGTTTTTAGAGAGTTGAGTCCAGCAAAAAAGTGACGTGTGGCAGAAAAGATAGCAAAAGAATTGAGGGTTTATCTTGAAATTACACGTTTATTACAATTTTCGAGCACAGAATTGAGCAAAGATCTCCTTAAACACCGTTTTATTTAGTAAACAAATAACATCAAACTACAATTGTAAAACTCTAATTGTAATCAAACTGTAGATAGACTAGTTTAATAATAAAACTAATACAATCATCATTAGCTAATAGAATTCGAATTTTATCGCCTCTTAAACCATTCAATTATTGATCTACACGCCATTCAACTATTGATCTACAAAAGACGGTACGTCATTGTTAGTATTGCGACGTACAGTCGATACTCTCATTTTGCGGTCATTTTTCTTGTACTAAACAACAGTTTTACGAAGTTTTTTTTATACTATCGTGTAGCCCAATTGAAGGGCTAAATTTTAAAACCAGACTCATTTTTTTTTCATCATTCTGATTAAAATTAAACGATTAAAAACGAAAAATTGCTTCGAATTGAATTGACATTCACCAGAGCCTTCGATTTGTGCGAGTCTGATTTCAAAATATAGTCCATCAATTGGGCTACACGATAGTATAAAAAAAACTTCGTAAAACTGTTGTTTAGTACAGGAAAAATGGCCGCAAAATGAGAGTGCCACCACTACACACTCATACAAAAGACGGTACGTCATTGTTAGTATTGCGACGTCGGTGCTCTCACTTTGCGGCCATTTTTCTTGTACTAAACAACAGTTTTACGAAGTTTTTTTTATACTATCGTGTCGCCCAATTGAAGGGCTAAATTTTGAAACCAGACTCGACCATTTTTCTTGATCATTCTGGTTCACTTTTATGCAATCCTTTCTTCATAATTCAAAAAAAAAAAAACTCAAAGCTTTATCCACAAAATATTTCAAATATAAAAGAAAACAAATATCAAAAAAAAAAAAACAAAAACCTTTATGCACTCATGTGTTTTTTGGGATCATGAAGATTGCGCTACTGTGTCAAAAACGAAAATTGCTCCGAATGGAATTGCCATTCACCAGAGCCTTCGATTTGTGCGAGTCTGATTTCAAAATTTAGCCCTTCAATTGGGCGACACGATAGTATCAAAAAAAACTTCGTAAAACTGTTGTTTAGTACAAGAAAAATGACCGCAAAGTGAGAGTACCACCACTACTTTGCGGTCATTTTTCTTGCACTAAACAACAGTTTTACTAAGTTTTTTTTATACTATCGTGTAGCTCAATTGAAGGGCTATATTTTGAAACCAGACTCGCATCAATCGAAGGCTCTGGTGAATGGCAATTCAATTCGAAGCAATTTTTCGTTTTTACACAGCGGTGCAACCTTGATGGTCCCATTTTTTTCTTTCTCTCATTGAGAAATACCTCGTATTCAGAAGAAAAGTATTTGCGGTTTAGCGGGCACAATTGTCTCAAATGAAAATTTTCACAACTACCCATAAAACAGCACAATATACAAAGAAATTGAATGAGTATCGAAGGTTTATAAAAAAAAGGAATGCTTTTTGGTCTAGCAATGAGTCTCACGACCGGATAGGCAAAGGTCTTTGATCACGACACGACTCGTCGCCTCGACTGTCTGAAATGACGATTGTGAAAACGAAATTTGATAGAAAGTTGAGATTTTCAGGTTTATTTTATTAGTATTTGCTTCTTTTTGATGATTTAATCAGCTTTCATCAAGGTTTAATCAGCTTTAATTAGCCTGATGAAAGCTTGATTAAGGCTTAATGATTAAGCCTTAATCAAGCTTTCATCAGGTTTTAATCAGCTTTAATCAGCTTTAATCAAGTTTCAATCAAGCTTTAATCAAGCTTTCGTCAAGCTTTACTCAAGCTTTAATCAAGTTTTCATCAGCTTTCATCAAGCTTTAATCAGCTTTCGCCAAGCTTTACTCAATCTTTAATCAGGTTTCATTAAGCTCTCATCAGCTTTCATCAGCTTTCATCAAGCTTTAATCAGGTTTCATCAAGCTTTCGTCAAGGTTTAATCAGCTTTAATCAAGCTCTCATCAGCTTTCATCAGCTTTCATCAAGCTTTAATCAAAAAAAAAAAAAAAAAAAAAAAAAAAAAAAAAAAAAAAAACCCAAAAAAAAAAAAAAAAAAAAAAAAAAAAAAAAAAAAAAAAAAAAAAAAAAAAAAAAAAAAAAAAAAAAAAAAAAAAAAAAAAAAAAAAAAAAAAAAAAAAAAAAAAAAAAAAAAAAAAAAAAAAAAAAAAAAAAAAAAAAAAAAAAAAAAAAAAAAAAAAAAAAAAAAAAAAAAAAAAAAAAAAAAAAAGCTTTCAATCTTTTCTTTTTCCCTTTCTCTCCCAAAGATCAACCTCAAAGATAGAGTCGACGTTTGAGTTGCAGCGTTTTATGGGTGGTTTATCGAGGAGTCCGGGCACAGGGTTGAAGTTCGAAGACATCGATCTGCAATTTGAAATTCAGAGTTCAGATTTGAACTTGTTTCTTTTTTTTTCGACAAAGGAATTGCTTTCGCTGCACAAGCAAGTGTTTTTTGTGTGTGCTATTCTAATTAACATCTAGTCGAAAAGGAAAGCGTCACTTTTTTATCTGTTAATCTACTTCCTGAAATATTCAATCACGAATCCAGGATGTAAATGTAAATTTGTCTAAAGGAAAGTGCTCGGCTTGACTTTTCGACTATTGTGATCAACTAGAATAACAAGTGTTCTTTTTCACCCACAACTTTTCACTGTCATTTTCACCCCTGCTCATTTCCACAATTCACCTCCACATGCATTTCAAATTTTCCTTGCTTTCTTGTAGATTTAGATTATAGATTTAGATATTAGATTTAGATATTAGATTTAGATTTAGATTTAGATTTAGATTTAGATTTAGATATTAGATTTAGATATTAGATTTAGATTGTAGATTTAGATTTAGATTTAGATTTAGATTTAGATATTAGATTTAGATATTAGATTTAGATATTAGATTTAGATTATAGATTTAGATTATTGATTTAGATTATAGATTTAGATTGTTGATTTAGATTTAGATTTAGATTATAGATTTAGATTGTAAATTTAGATTATAGATTTAGATATTAGCTTTTAAAAAAATCAAACAAAAAATGTTAGTAGAAAGCATGAAAAAAATTGATTTGGAGGTAGAGTCGAGCAAAGAATTAAACGAAAAAAAACTTCTGATCACAAACTGTCACCTACTACGAATTAAGCGCACGAAACTCAGGCGCCACTTGAAAATTGCAAATAAATAAGTTGGCTGTTAGAAAATAGCTTTGTTAATTGAAATTATCAATGAAAAAAAAGGAAATGATAAAGTTAGATGATGGAAAGGTGTTGATGGTGGTTGAGTGGAAGGTGGTCGAGGAATGGTTTCAGAGTTCTTTCTTCAGAGCTCTGTTGAATTTTATTTCATTTCTTTCATTTCATTTCTTTCTTTCCTTTCATTTCTTTCATTTCATTTCTTTCATTTCATTTCTTTCATTTCTTTCATTTCATTCCGTTTCTTTCATTTCTTTCATTTCATTTCTTACAATGGAGATAAAGGTACAGACGAACTTCGATATAACGAATCGCTGGGGATCGAAAACTTCGATATAACGAACCTAAAAAGTGCCTCAAATTTTCTGTGTAGCTGCCCTGAGCCTGTATGCTATGCTCCGGGAAAAGTTCCCGCGGCACCTTTGATCTTTCCGGTAAAACGTTTATAGTTTTCCTACGGAGCGGACTTTTCCTCGGAAAGTTTTACCGGAAATTTTCTGGAAGAAAATTATGTTCCGCGAGAAAACCATGGATGTTTTACCGGAAAGATCAGAGACGCCGCGGGAAATTTTCCCAAAGCGTACGGGCTCTGGAAGGCCACTGATTGCATTTGGCTGGGGCAGGTATTTCAAATTCGTTTTATTCGTTATATTGAAGTTCGCCTGTATTTTGATTTTGAGATTATACCTTTTGCTTATTGAAGGATTTGTAAGATATTCAGCTGTACTTTTAATCCTACGATATGATAATTTTACCGCTGTCTGTCCCAGAGATACACTACTGGACAATGAAATATCATTTTGAAAAACGATCGTCACTTTCGCGCCTCTGTAACTCCCATGTCTTTACCGTATTTCTAAATATTAATATTACCATTGTGTAGCCCTTGAAAAGAGCTTTTAGAAAATGTATAACACTAATAGTTTAAACTCAAAGACAAAGAAGTTACAGACGTGCGAAAGTGACGATCGTTTTTCAAATATGATTCAATTTAATTCAAGGATATTTCATTGTCCAGTACTGTAATTTAAAATATTCAGTCAATCAGAATAAAGCTATATAGCTAAATATCATTGAATTAAAGATATTCAGAACAATGACTTAATCGTTGAAGTACTCTGAAACCATACAAGTACACTGTTAACCAGAAGTACACTGTTATCCAGGAATCAAGATGATTGTTATGAAGGGAAAAGAATGGTTAAGAAGAGAGAAGAAAAGAGATTCATTCAAAAACAAGAGTTTTTCTCTTTTAGGATAAACTTACAGCCGTATTTTCAGTGAACGAGCTCTCCATTATGCTAAAAATCAACTCAAATTTGTTTTCTTTTCTTTATCGATCTAGCTTTTTTTTTCAAACAAGGACAAAACATTCATGATTTTCAGTCAAATAAATGTTTAAAGTTTTGAATTATTTGATGTAAAGTTAGTGATTCTATAGAATTCTATGGGTTCTATAGGTCCTAAAGGTTCTAACCTATAGAATCTATACAACTCTATAGGTCTTATAGATGCTAATCTATAGGTAAATTCTCTATGTTCTATAGATTAGCACCTATAGAACCTATAGAATTTTATAGATTCTATAGGTTAGCACCTATAGAACCTATAGAGTTCTATAACTTCTATAGAATTCTATAGACTCTATAGGTTAGAACCTATAGAACCCATAGAACCCATTTTCAGAGCCATCAAAGTCAAGCAATTTTGTTGAAAAGCGTCGTGAATCCAATTCATTCCCACGTTTGGCGCACCATCATTTTTATTCTATAGATTCTATAGGTTCTATAGATGCTAACCTCTAGAATCTATAGAATTCTCTAGGTTTTATAGGTGCTAACCTCTAGAATCTATAGAATTCTCTAGGTTCTATAGGTGCTAACCTATAAAACCTATAGATTTCTATAGTTTTAATAAGTTGTAAGTTGTAAGTTATGGATATTGTAAGAAATTTCAAGTTTCCATACTGTAAAAGTTCGAGTTCTGTGGCTTGCAATAAAGTTTTCAGCTAACTACTGAATATCTTCGTTTTTCTTTAATGAAAGAAAAGCTATTCAGCCATTGTAGATAAAGATTGTGCTTATATTATAAAACTATTGCTTAAAATTCTCTAAATCCTTTGACTGAACATCAATTTTTCTCTAGACACGGACCTGGACGCGTAGCTCGAACGGACGAGAAAAAGGAAAAATGTTGTTTAGTTAGCAAAAAAAAAACACAAATGTTTTGGCAATGTGCGAAAAAACTAACCGCTACTGAAGACAAATAGGAAAAAAAAAGTTCCCAAGAGAAAACTGGGAAGACAAGAAAGAAAAATCATGGACAAAAATAGTGAATAGCTTTTGAGCTTTTGTTTTAAAGCTTACGTTTGATATCGTGGGAAGAAGGTGCCGTAACAGCTGCTGAGATACAATTTAGTGAAAAAAATGCGAATAAAAACTTAGTTAATGATAAAATAAAAAAAGCCAATCGGATTAGGCTAAGGGTAAGAAAAGAAAATAAGGGAATTTTTGATATTAGAGCTTTTTTTTCTAAGTTGCTCTACTAAGTTGAGACTTTTTATCGGAAACAAGAGGAAGTTTATGAAATCACATTTTTACAATCAAGAAGTCTAATAATTTTGCATTGAGTTTTCAAATAAATAAAAAAAAAAACATTAGAGATCTTGTAGAGCATTTTTGAATTCACAAATCTACCTGTGCATTTTCCCATTTTGCGGATAAAAAGCTCCGTTATCCGTTGGCATGTAAACTTTCTGGAAATGCTGTCGAATCAACTTTTTTCGACCAAAAATCGTCCGCATTGCCGTACGGAATTTCTGAAAATGTTTAAATTTGAAATTGGATTGAGTTAGGCTCACAAATTTAGCTATAAGTACTTGCACTTGAAACAAGTTACGTCAAAATCCGACCTTGACCGCGCCTAATTTCATTTTTTATTTTCTAAATTCACTTTTCTCATATGTAACTTCACTTTAAGAATCTACATATTTTGCTCTACAAAATGACATCAAAATCATCAAAATCGGCTCACTAGTTTTGGAGATGCATGCACGCAAAGTGGCGTGGTCAAGAGTTTAGTTCGGATTCGGACGTAACATACAGTACTGGACAATGAAATATCATATTTGAAAAACGATCGTCATTTTCGCGCGTCTGTAACTCCCTTGTCTTTGAGTTTAAACTATTAGTGTTCGTTTTTCAAATATGATATTTCATTGTCCAGTACTGTATATAAGTAAAGCTATTTGTACAGTAAAGCTACTTGTACAGTAAAGCTATTTGTACAGTAAAGCTATTTGTACAGTAAAGCTAATTGTACAGTAAAGCTAATTGTACAGTAAAGCTACTTGTACAGTAAAGGTACTTGTACAGTAAAGCTACTTGTACAGTAAAGCTATTTGTACAGTAAAGCTACTTGTACAGTAAAGCTATTTGTACAGTAAAGCTTGATTGTACAGTAAAGCTATTTGTACAGTAAAGCTAATTGTACAGTAAAGCTACTTGAATTTATAGTACAAGTAGCTTTACTTATATATTTTACGTCCGGACTAAACTCTTGACTGCGCCACTTTGCGTGCATGTATCTTTAACAGACTATTCTTATAAAAGTTCAAGTTAGGTTCAAGAAAGATTCAAGAAACTATTAGTTTCAAGTTAGATTCAAGAAACCATTAGACTCAAGAAACCGGAACTCACCTTGTTCAAGAAACAATAAGTGATAGGATTTGTACATGAAGAGAGATAACAAAGTGTGGTGATCACTGTGTTCACTAGCGGGTTCCACAATTGGATCCCATCCTAGAACAAAGAAATTGTTTGACAAGTAGTCTAGAAAAGAAGACGAATTGATAGCTTGCACGTCAATTGTATTTCGCACATGTCTGTGTTTTCTGAAAGGTACTCTTTTGTCAAAAGTTTTGTTCTCGCGAGAAAAAAAAAATCAGTGGCGCTTTTCTGAAGATTCCTTTTCCACTTCTAATTTACAGCTTTGTAAATTTTTTTGTTTCTTTATATTCTTGCATATATCTCGTTAGTTTGCCAAAGTTTGAGCGTAATTTCTTCCCGTAAATACTGTAATAAAAGCGTACAGCCGTTTAGTCGTAAAAAAAATTAAATCATATTTTTCTAAGCGTCCATAATTCCTAAAGATGCATATTTTGGATTAAAAAATAGCTCTGAATTTCAGCTTTTATTTAATACTTAAGCGCATCTTGTAGCATAAATGGGTGGCAAGAAAAATGCGTTTAAAGCTAGGCTACGACACCCCCTCCGATCATCATTATAGGGGAGCGCTTCTATTGCAGTCTTTACGATAGTCTTTATTGGGTTGGTGAATCGAAAACTGCGGCCTTTGGCATATGTGACAGTTTGAGCACTTTCTTCAAAAGAAACCCATTTTGGTGTCAATAGAAAAGTTGTAGAGAATCAAAAATTAAGCTTATATCCAAATTTTCAGAACGATTCAAAAACTGGTTTTCAAGAAATGCCAAATTTACGAATTTTCACAAAACTTGCATTTTAAGCGAAACTACTAAGTGTATCTTTTTGGAAATTTGGATATAAGCTTGATTTTTGTTTCTCTACAACTTTTCTATTGACACCAAAATGGGTTTCTTTTGAAGAAAGTGCTCAAACTGGGACATCTCCAGTCCTCCATTTTTGAGTCTCACACTTGTCTCACACACAAACCAAAATCCAACTAGAATCCAAAATGCGAAAGAGGAATCCACAAATTGCCTGTAAAATGGGCAGAAGTCGTCAATAATAATGGAAATTATTTGGAATGAATTCATGGTTTTATGTTGAATTAATTTTAGTTCAAAGTCCCGCAGTTTTCAATTCACCAACCCAATAGTGCCTTTAGGATTTGGAAAAATTTCTTTCAAGCGTATGATAGAAATGTATTTACCTTTCTAAAAAGATTTCTTGATGTTTTTCTGAATTACTTTGAGCTATGAGCTTGTGTCGGAAAGTCTTTGAGGTTTGTCAACGCCACGATTGTCATTTAATCGTTGTTTACTCTAAAAATCAAGTACCAATCGACTCAAATGTCTTTGGTATCTTTAAGATTTAGATAAATGTGTTGCAAACGTATGAAAGAATCGTATTTTCTTTCTCATCTTTCACTATGATTTTGCTAGACATTTTTCTGTAGCTTCCACCCACCGTGAACACATCTCCACCCTGAACGATCAACCACCATACATAAGTCGGTGTCCAGCAACAGAAAAATATAATCACAATCACGATTAACATTCTGAATATTCTTTTGTCAAGTTGTAAAATATGAAACTCACTTGACGACTCTTCTCTTTGCCGCGGCACTTTTTTGGGTATGCGTGCTTCGAACGGATTGCGCGGTCATCGGCGCTCGCACTGTTCCACTCCCATACTGTGCTCTGAAATGATTTCTATGCAAATTGATTATCTTATATATGTCGTAGCCGATGAAGGATTTCAACCGAAGAAGTCTCAGGCTTCTTCGGCTAGCTGATTAAGTCTCAAAAATGAAATCTTGAGTTATGTATTGACTCAAGCCAATACCACAAATTCAAGCTCTCTAAAAGGTGCTTAAAAGCTATAAACGCATTCTAAAGAGTGCGCATTTTATCATAATGTGACCAAAGGCTATAAAAGGGCCCTTTTCGTCATTCGTCAAAGGCACGGATTTAATCGATCTTCAATCCGTTCCCGATGGAGAATGCAAGTTTTTGATGGTCTACCAGGATCATTTCACAAAGTTCGTCGTTTTGCGGGCATTGCAAAGGAAAACACAATTTGAAGTTGTCGATCATCTAATGGAAATATTCGGAACGTTTGAAGCCTCAAAAATTCTTCAGTCCGACAACGGAAAGGAGTTCCCCAACAGATTGGTAAGCTTTTACTATCGAATTTCTTATTTTGTTTGCTTTTAGATCAAAGAACTCGTAAACCGGTGGTATTATTGTTTATTTTGTTGTTTAGTTTGGTCGAAAGCATTTTTGCAACTTGCAACGAAAATGCAATGCAACTTGCAATGAAAAATGCAAAATGCAACTGTAACTAGAATGCGTTTTTAGCTTTTAAGCGCCTTTTAAGGAGCTTGAGTTTGTGGTATTGACTTGAGTCAATACATAACTCAAGATTTCAATTTTGTGACTTAATCGGCTAGCCGAAGAAGGTTTCGCTAACGAAAAAATTTGAGACTTCATCGGCTGAAATCCCTCATCGGCTACGACATATAAAAGAATAAAACTTACTTTGTTTTATTGTTATTGTTATTGCTATTATTGTTATCCACTTTGTTAGCCATTTTCCCGACTAGTGAGGGTTTCCGTGACCCGTCATCATCCACACTTGCTGAAAAGTTGATTTCAAATATATATAAAGCAATTCTATCTTTTATTAAGCTATTATTAAAAATGTTTTTGCTAATATATTTTATTTTTATCTAGTTGAATATGTTCTTGCTTACTATCATTGTCAGCAAAGCTTCCCTCAGTGGCAGCGATGTCCATTCGAATGCCTACCCGTAACGAACGAATCACCTATAATAGAAAGTGTAAAATCTATTTAAATGTAAATGTTTCTATCTAAGGTATTAGATTTTTAAAAAAGTATAATCATTTTCAAATAAATACCTGTCCATAGAGAACCGTCATAAGAATCAATGGCACCAATAAGAGTACCATTGTCATATAAACCTAAAATCTCGATTAAATTGTTGAAAAGCTTTCAAAAAGCAAACCTGATAGATGAAATGAACCCATGGAGGAAATATTGGAGCACAGGTTAATCCATAAACTTCAACACCGAGCTCGTTATAATTGACATAGGGACCCTGTTGATACATGAAAATCGCCAAGCCATTCGCCAGAATCGAGATCAGCCAAACGATCGAGATCATGAAATAAGCATGAGATCTAGAAAATTATATTCTTCTTCTAGATGTTCTAGATGATCTAGATGTTCTAGATGTTCTAGATGTCCTAGATGATCTAGATGATCTAGATGGTCTAGATGTTCTAGATGTCCTAGATGATCTAGATGATCTAGATGTTCTAGATGTTCTAGATGTTCTAGATGATCTAGATGATCTAGATGTTCTAGATATTCTAGATGTTCTAGATGATCTAGATGATCTAGATCTTCTAGATGTTCTAGACTTCTAGATGTTCTAGACTTCTAGATCTTCTAGATCTTCTAGACTTCTAGACCTCCTAGACTTCTAGACCTCCTAGACTTCTAGATCTTCTTCTATGATTGCTTTGAAACCTTGTTTGCCAAATTCTCGAGTGCAACGGTCGACAAATCGCATAATAACGCTCAATAGCGATCACCGCCAATGTGTACGCTGACGCTGTTACAACGACAGCTAAATTTTCTCTTGAACAGTTTCTTATCAATTGTTTACGTTGTAGATAAGCCAAAAGTTTGCACATCAATGCCCCAAACATCCAGCAGTTCATCACCTAAATTTTAAATTGAATCAAAGCCATCATAGCCGTTTGGCTAAGAGCCATTTATTTTATGCAGGGTCGAGGGTTTAATTCCAGCTAGATTATTGATTTTTTTTTCATAGATATGGGTTTATTTCTTCTATTTCTATTTTCTTTCTATTTCTTCACTACATTTAGGGCTTGCTTGTGCATTGTTTTTATCACATTATTCGTCTGAATATACCAGCTTTCCCAAAAGCTTCGACTTTTTGTAAATGGATAATTTGACTCAAAAGAAAAAACGCTATTTTCTGAAAAACTAATGTCAGCTTGTGAAAATTCAGATATTATAGCTTTTTTCATACAAAAGTTGCAACTTTTTGATGAGGATGATCGTCACTGTGCTTTTTTTGCTTTCGAGTTTTGAGTGCCATTCGTAAAATCGCTTGAAAATCTTTCGTTTTCAAGAAATAGACTTCGTTTTTGGCTTATTATAAAGAAAAAACTTAGCTCTATCAAATGGTAACAACAGTTTTTCGAAAAAATTTCATCTAACAAGTCAACTATCGGAAAAATCTTCAGTGACGTTGTCAAAAAGTTGTTGAGAGTTGAAATGTTTTTATGAAAATGGGTATAAATATCTAAGTTTTTAGAATTCGGGGTTAGTTTTTTGGAATTTAGATTTTCAAGTCAAAAATTATTGCTTAAAGAAAAAGTATAAGAAACTTTTGGGAAATGCTAGATAAGACTCTAGATAAGACTCTACAGGGTGCGTGATAATTATTGCAACAAGAGTTCAAAGACCGTTTTACAAACAGCTTTCTTATTTTTTTGCCCCCTTTTTTGTTGTGTTGCGTTCTATCTTCTTTATTCTTGCCTAATTGCCTCCCGCTCACACGAAGAAGACGGTTCAGGACTGGTGTGTGGCCAACTTTCCCTCAGTGATCACCAAGGATGAATGACCTCCAAACTCACCGGATCTCAATGTGATGGACTTTTCCATTTGGGCAATCTTAGAGGCTAATGTCTGCTCTTTGACCTTGAAGAAGTCTTTGACCAAAGGATGGAAGGCGACTCCTCAAGATGACATTCGGGCCGCAGTGGAGGCATATCCGAATCGATTAATGGCTGTTATCAAGGCAAAAGGCGGTCATATCGAATGATCTCTTGTTTCCTTATTTGTTACTGTTAAATAAAGCTATTTCTGTTTAAAAATCTTCTTCCAGTGAAACTTCTTGGTGTGCAATGCCTTGAGTATCTTGTTGCAATAATTATGACGCACCCTGTAGATAAGACTCTAGATAATACTCTAGATAAAACTCTAGATAAAGAAACTCAAACAAACCGTGCTGACAAGTGTCGGAGGCATGCATAAAACTGATAACATTAAATCCGAAACCGCCAAATTCATCAAGTAAATATTCGTAATTGATCGCATTGCTCGTTGCTAGAATTTGAATGATAAATGAATGTTTTTGAAAGATCTTTCCAACCGTTGAGATGACAACGATAACGAGCGCATTACCAGTTACAGATAATAAAAAGATCATGATGAAATTAGTGACGATGAAATAATTTTGAGAGGAATGATTGAAATGACAAGCCGAATGGTCACTAAATTGGTTTGGTTTTTTTTTTTGAGTTTTTAAAACCGATCTTTATTTAAAACTCACTTATCCTCGTTTGGCTGAATCACCGGTGAAAGAGTTGGAGCTGGAAAGGAAAGCTTTGCAATTAAATCTTTGTAATTAAATCTTTGCGATCAAAACTTTGTAATTAGATCTTTGTAATTAAAACTTTTGATTTTTTGATTTCATTTTGTTTATTTTTAGATTAGTCAACTTTTAGATTTAGATTTAGATTTAGAGTTAGATTTAGAGTTATATATATATATGCTTTATTCAGTTGAATAGCGACAAGACAAAATCACCCGGGACACCACTCAAAACACACCCAAAAGATAAATGGATACCTCAAGAAAGAATCACAGAGCAGTCAAATTAGAGTTAGATTTAGAGTTAGATTTAGATTTAGATCTACATTTAGATTTACATTTAGATTTACATTTAGATTTACATTTAGATTTAGATCTACATTTAGATTTAGATTTAGATTTAGATCTACATTTAGATTTACATTTAGATTTAGATTTACATTTACATTTAGATATTTAACAGCAAGAATCATTTAACAGTTACCAGTATGTAGAAGAAAAAATGAATCTTCAAATGATCCATTGTTTAACACTCCTCGAGAGGTGACGTTCATTTGTAAGCTAAAAAGTTAAGCTAAAATTAAAGACTTCATTATTTCAAGGAATCGATTTCAAGAAATAAAAAATGCTTTTGAAAAACAAGACTTTTCAAGAAAATTCCGGAAATCAGGAATAACAAAAAACAGCAACGATTGAAACTTTTTCTCATTTTGAGAGCAACACGTCGATGAATAGATATGGGATTTTCACCTATTCGACTAAATGTAAAGGTTTAGTTTTTGAATGTAATTTGAATGTAAAAATGTAAAGGTTTTGAAAGAGGTTTAGAAAGAGAACAGTGAAAAAAGGTGTCAGGACTTTTTCACAAACCCAGGTTCAAGTCCAGTCCAGGTCCCAGCCTGCCAAACCATTTCCAAGAGTCCTATTTAGCTTCTTACTGTTTATAGACATAGAAAATGGTTTAAGTTTTAGAAAATGGTATTAACAAAAAAAAAAAACAAAAAGTTCTGGCAGTGAGGGGATTCGAACCAGGGACAACGGGTGCAAAGGGCGAGGATGAAGCGCTAGCAGACTATCCACCACACCATCCGGTCACTTCTTAGAGGAAAGTAATTTGGAATGATACAGCCGCGGCGTTCCAAAAATGCACGAACTTTAAAAGTATTTTTCTCAAAAACTGGATGCTGAGAGCAACACGTCGATGAATAGATATGGGATTTTCACCTATTCAACTAAATGCAAGAGTTTCTCTCCCTCCCCAGCCATCCATAGTGCGTGTGTGGGGATCGGCGAACAATCTGATTACCTCCCCTTGCCATTTTTCTTTTTTTTTTCTGAGACTCCCAGATTGCTCTCCTCGACCATTGGTCGACACACAACAATGCCCATTCTACTCACTCCCTTCTCACCTCTTTCTAACTCTTTTATAAAAACTTTCAGCTTAATACGCATTAGATCGTAAATAGGGAAGAATTTTCTATATAGTAAAGCTATTTCTGTGCTTACTTATCATTCAAACTAGTCCTCCTCTTCCTAACTCTTTCTTGAAATCTCTAAAATTTCTAAAAAATAGCTGACAACTAAATATTGCTATAAGCATTTGATGTAAATATTTACTTTTTAAAAGTTTCATTTTCGTTCCGAAATCCTTTCGTTTCAGACTCGAGATCAGTAATTAGGATTTGTGGTGGGGAAAAGCGCCAAAACATATTTACTCTATGAAAGATTGGTCTAAAAGAACGGATCTCTGGTAGAGAGGACTAAAGAAAAATAAGAATAAAAATCCTTAGACAAATACGATCAAAACTTTGGCTTATTGTTTCCCTCATTAAACTAAGAAAGATCATTTTCAAGAAAGAAATGAAAGAAATGAACATCAGAATCGAAAAAAAAGAGGAAATGAACCCGGAAAGAGGAATTAGACTGTTTGAATTCGATTTTTGTGCTTTCTTTTTCGACTTCGGCACAGATTTGGGCTAATTTATGTTCCCAACGGGAAAACCGACTAGAACAAATCATCGAAATAAGTGGGTTTTAAAAAGAAAGAAGGAAGAAGGAAGATGAAGGAAGAAAGAAGAGAGGAAGAAAGAAGAGAGGAAGAAAGAAGAAAGAAGAAAGAAAGAAGAAGAAGAAAGAAGAAAGAAGAAATGGCAAAATTCAGAGAATAGATTCTTCTCGAATAAGTTGTGAAATAAAATAAAATAAAAATTCAGTGTTCTGTCGTATTTTTCGTTTAGCTTTTCACATTTAATGAAAAAAAAGAGGGAACATCAAGTGTTGTGGGGTGGATGAATGTGTGAAAAGAAGCCTTTTCATCTCCTCTTTTTTTCCACATATCCACCCTCTCAAAAAAAAGTTGACTCGACTCGATTTGACGAAAAATTAAAGCGGAAGTGCTTAAAAATTAAAGCTTGATGAGGAATTGTTGAAAGAAAAAGGAGGAGAAAAGAAACTACGCATATTGATGATCGTTTGAATGAGGATGAACTTTGAAGAGAGTGAAAGAGTGAGTAAAAGTAAGATCCACTGGAAATCCGAGGGATTCTGGCGATAATCGCTTTCTTAGGGTGAAATCCAACGGAAAACCAAAGGATTCTCCCTCTACCCTCTTTATGAGGTATAATCCACCGAAAACCTGTGCATTCTGCTTTCAGTTTCTTTTTGAGGTAAGATTCACTGGAAGTCCAGTGGATTCTGCCCATCAGAAAAATCAGAGATTGCCCAAATCAGAAATTGAATCGTCTTCTATCAGACTGGTGAATCGAAATAAGCTTAAGTAATGCTCTTCAGTCTATTTTCTAACAGCATTGCATTCAGATTTCTTCGTCTGGCTTTCTGCTAACTTCTGGTCTTCAGAGATCAGCAAGGAAAGAATAAACATGAACATGAAATCTTCAGTGAAATCAGAGAGAACGAAAATTTTCTTGGAAAAGTTTATAATCGAATAATGATCATGATCAAATTTCTTTAATAGATATCAAGCTTTTTGCTCTTTTTGCGTTGCAATTTCCTTAAAAACCAATAACTTCAACCAATAACTTTATCAAAGGTATTCACTATTTGCAAGTATGATATCTTTCTATTTATTCAGCAGAGAGTCTAATCTTTTTTTATAAACTCGATTGGTGAACCTTAAACCTTTACAAGGCCTCATTGGATTAGGGCCCTAAAGCTGACTAGGGCCCGTTGAAGCACACAAATTTTTTAGTCTTCGACCATTGGCCACGCTCGCCAAACCTAACTAATTTCTTGAAAAATGGGAAAATAACTTGAGGCAATGTCTAGAGAATAGAGAACTTTCCAGCTTAAAGCCTACTGATTTTTCTGATTTTTGCCAGAGGTGCATTTTAGTGAGCAGTAAGACTAGAGTAAGCAAACCATAGACCGTCTTCGACTTCCAGACGTCCACTGAAAAAGGTTTAGAAAGAGAACAGTGAAAAAAGGTGTCAGGACTTTCTCACAAAACCAGGTTCAAGTCCAGTCCAGGTCCCAGACTACCCAACCATTTCCAAGAGTCCTATTTAGCTTCTTACTGTTTATAGACATTTTAAAACACCTAAAAATTGTTTTAGTGCTTTAACAAAAGCATGGGGTATATTTTGGGGTGATAAAAAAAAAGGCTTCTCTTAAAAACAATTAAAAACCCCTAAAAAGGTGTGTGAAAGACGAATCTTCAACCGGATGCGTACCCAAGGAGAGTTATGGCCAAAGAGTGAAGTGGAAAATCGACTAATTAATGCAAAGCCTTCTTTTTTTCTATCTCAACACCAGTATTTCAAGAGAATTTCTAGAATTTCGCAAAAATTTGTTCTCTAGAAATTTCTCTAGTCATTTCTCTAGATATTTCTCTAGTCATTTCTCTAGAAAACATTTCTCTCACCTTGAGAAATCCCCATGGGAGAGCTGGCCAAAGAGTCAAAGGCTTGCTTGCTTGGAATTAAATCTGTCAATATAAGCAAAGAAATTCAGGAAATTGAAAGAAATTGAATTGAATTTTTAGATAGATTTGGTAAATATTATTGAAACATTGTTAAGATAAAAATTTGATTTTGACAATGAAAAGTCTATCTAGAGCAATTAAAGAAAGTTTATTAAAGAAAAGAAAAAGATTTGGGGACTCTCCACTTCTCATCTTTTATCCTTTACGCTTCGAAGCGTCATCACAATACAAATGTGACGCTTTATTTCGTGACAAAGATCTCACTCTATTTTTTCAAAAAAAAAAATTTCAAGAGCTTTTGTCTTTGTTTTCCCCGAGAATTTGACCAAATGAATTCAGAATTTTAAAGAACTTTTGGTACTTTTCGGTTTTACATCCACAGAGACTCAAATCGGTTAAGCAAGAAGCTGACAACTTGTGAGGGGTGATTATGCTCAGTGTTCGTCTGAAGTGAAGTAGAGTGCTCGTCTGAAGTGATCAGTCGATTCGTCGAACGAAAATCGGTAACCGAAAAGACTCGCATGGGGATGCTTAACCGACAAGTATCAATCTTTCATCCAAATTCATTTTCTAATTGGATTTTCTCAAGCTATCAAATGAAATACGGTTTTCATTAGATAACCTAATCATTTCACTTGAAAATATGTTTTGAAAGTTTGCTTAACTGAGATGCTTAACTGAGATGCTTAACTGAGATGCTTAACTGAGATGCTTAACTGAGATGCTTAACTGAGATGCTTAACTGAGATGCTTAACTGAGATGCTTAACTGAGATGCTTAACTGAGATTCTTAACTGAAATGCTTAACTGAGATGCTTAACTGAGATGCTTAACCAATAACGATGCTTAACCGAGATGAGTCTTTGTGGATTTATAACCGATAAGTATCGAAATTTTTGTTTGAATCAAATTTTGTGAAAGATAAAATACGATTCAACGATTTTCAATCATCAAATAAACGATTAGTTTTCATAAAAAAAGGCAAAATCTGATTTCTAATTTAATCCATAGAGTTTTCAAATGTTCAATTCAAAAACTTGAATTTTGAGACTTGAGGCTTGAGCTTAAGAACGACAAATCATCAAAATTCAATTCAATTCATAAAAGACAGCTGGGTTATAAATCATAAGAAATACAACGAAGTTCCCCTAGGTTTTGGCTGAGTCGAGAATTTTCTTTCTGTTGAGGCCCTAATCCAATGAGGCCTTGTAAAGCTTTAAGGTTCACCAATTGAGGGTTCAAACCCCGGAAATTCTCAATTCTCAATCGACGACTTCCCAATTTTGTCTTATTCCTTACAATATTCATTTTGATAGGCAATAAATCTAAAATTAAACCATAAAAAAAATGCTTTTGCGGCCCTAATCCAAATTAACGCATAAATTTTGTTGTAAAAGTCAGATGGGTTATAAAACACAAGCAATACAACGAAATTCCCCAGGTTTTGGGTGAGTCTTTCTGTTTTGAGGCCTTTTAAAGCTTTAAGGTTCACCAATCCCCGGGGGAGCGATTGCTCAGGTTTTGCCCAGCGATTTTTATTATCTTCGACGCCTTTCTGGGGCACTTGTTTCTTTCATTTTTTTTTGATCTCCGACGAACTCATCTTGTCAACCA